TATATAAACTGTTCCTTATGAAAAATCGAGATTTTTGTACCCTATATAAACTGAATAGCATTGAAATATAGAGAGATAGAGATATTTTGTTTTATTTTATAGAATAAGGGTTTTATATAGTAATAAACTACTAGTAAGAATCAAACATAGTTGTGAGGATCTCATAAGTTTAAGCTTAATATATTTATTTAAAACTAATCTAGTTACGCGGGCTAATCCATATTATAGGTGCGAACATCATTTGCAGCCGCACGAGAGACTAAAGAAAAATTTAAAATCAAAACAAATTTCCAAAAAAAATAAAAAAAATAAAAAATGTGTAATGCACACATCCCTCTCAATTTTACTACACACTGATTGTTTTTGGGACTTCTAACATCAAAACACATCGGTCCGGCCTACAATACATCTTAAACTATCCCCCCTACTCCATTACAGGGCGAACAAAAACACTTCAGTAAACTGCGTAAATCTGTATAGCAAACTAGGACGACCATCCGCTCCTCACCCGCCGACAGAAACAGTATCATACAATCATACCAAATGGTGCTGCATCTATTAAAGCTGTTGGAAATAACAAACAATCACGTCTATTCAAACATCCACCCTACTGATCTAGATAAACGAAGCTATAGAGAACGTCAACATAATGATTATCTGCTCCAAAGAATGATTCGCAAAACACGCGAAAAGACAATTGCTTCACCTCCTCAAAACAAACCACTAGATCAACATAATGGAAGTGATACGGTTAAACCCAAGTCGAAAATACGAACGAATGTGACGTTAGTTCGGATTAATCCTAATCATTTGTTTGTGACAATACGTTATGGAAAAAGAGAAAGACGAGGACGACCTCGGAAATTTCCCATAAATGGAGGGACAACCGGGAATGGTACAGCAGAACTACAAAGTCCAGAAAAGGTTCGTAGCAGTAATCAAAGGCAACAGTACCAACGTCAACATGAACAGCATCTACAACAATTGGAAAAGAAATTAGGATCAAGAAAACTGCGGCCAATTGCTGCAGCAGCAGCAGTAATGGGAACAAGAGAAGTAGACAGCACACATACAGATATAGTTCTTGCCTTTAATGGTATGTTACCTTAAGAGTTAATAGGACTAACATAGTAGTTCGATACCGAACCAACAAAGGAAGATCGCAATAAGTTTAATAACTATATTGAAGAAGCCAAAGAATTACGAAGATCCAAAAGTAACAACCGAACAGATAATGCCGATTCTATCAAGGAAACCACCCCAGGACCAGTATCTCTAGTCAATCTTCATCGATCAAAAATTAATCGTATAGTATTTCGAGATTTCGAAATAGATACTTGGTATACAGCCCCATATCCCGAGGAATATTCTCAATCAGAGGTGTTATACATTTGTGAATATTGTTTAAAATACATGAATTCCCCAATATCTTATAAACGACATCAATTGAAAAATTGTAATTATTCTAATCATCATCCACCAGGGATTGAAATTTATCGAGATCCAAAGACAAAGATCCTGATTTGGGAAGTTGATGGAAGGAAAAATATTAATTATTGTCAAAATTTATGTTTATTAGCAAAATTATTTTTAAATTCAAAAACTTTATATTATGATGTTGAACCATTTATATTTTATGTTTTAACAGAAATTGATGAAATAAATCCTGCAAAATATCATTTTGTTGGATATTTTTCAAAAGAGAAATTGAATAACTCTGATTATAATGTTAGTTGTATTTTAACATTACCAATTTATCAAAGGAAGGGATATGGGAATTTATTAATTGATTTTAGTTATTTATTAAGTCGACATGAATTTAAATATGGAACTCCTGAGAAACCTTTAAGTGATTTGGGATTATTGAGTTATAGAAATTATTGGAGAATTACAATTGCTCAGAAATTGAAAGAATTATATTTGAAATATTTATCATCACAGGAGAATCAATTTTCGGAATCTAAAAGTCATTTATCAAATATATCAACCTCAATCGATCTGTTATGTAAATTGACAGGAATGACACCGTCGGATGTCATTGTGGGTTTAGAACAATTAGAATGCTTAATCAAAAACCCAATCACTAATAAATTTGCAATTGTATTAAATATGAAGAAAATAAATTATGAAATAAATAAATGGAATTTAAAAAATTATACAAAATTAGATTATTCACAATTATTATGGAAACCAATGATATTTGGACCTAGTGGAGGCATTAATTCCGCTCCTGCAATACCAGTACCTCAACCCCACGCACACCTCCCAGGGGGGATGATTCCACCAGTTCCCCATAATAGTATTTCCTTGATCACAAGTTTCTTAAAGGATGACATCAATAATCCTTATACATTTGAAGAAGAAGGATATAAAGAAATAGAACTCTATCGTGAAATGAACAACAGCAACACCAACAACAATAACGAAGAAGGAGATTTTGATTATGAGAAATATATTGTATGTCATCCTGGTATTTCATATAATAAGAGCAAGACAAAGACATCTCTACTTGGAGAGGTGAAGGAGAATGGCGAGACACATGATAATCCTATTGAAATAATGGAGGAGTTGTTTGCGGATATAGATGAGGAAGAATCTATTGAGGATGATAAAGAGGTTGATTTTGAAGAGTTTGAAATCGAAGAGGACGACGATGAAGAAGAAGATGATGATGACGAGGAGGATGAAGTAGTTGTCACTAATGGCTTAGTGATCGACGACGATGATGAAGAAGAAGAAGAGTTTGCTGTGCTGTCTGAATCGGAAATCGATGATTTCTCGGATATTCCACTACCACCTGCTCGTACTACTAGTAGTAGATCATCTTCTGATGGAGAATTTTTCTCTTTTTGTTAGGTCCAACTTAATGGTCTTAAGAGAGGTAGAGGAAGACCAAAGGGAACATTCAAAATCCCACGACCAATTGTGGTTAGATCAACAAGCAGACACTCTGAAGAAGAAGAGGATGAACCATTACTTCCCAGAAGGACTAGAAGACGACTTAGATAGTCTATGTAACTTTATAAAAATATGTACACTAGTATTAAAAATTTGTAACTTATCTAGAATTTAATTAATAATTAGTTTTAAACAATTTACAAGAATTTTCAAATATCAAATCAATAAACGATTCAATTTCTTTTTCATCTTTGATTCCATGTAATTCACAAAGGATTTCTGCCACAAATCCAACATAAACCGGTTCATTTCTAGATTTAAATAATGGATGAGCTAATGGACCAAATCTCGTCTCTACTAATTCTGGTCTTGCTGAATTCTCTTTTTGTTTTTGAGTGAATTCTTTATGTTTTCCATAATATTCCTTCTTAATTGATGGGAATGGAAGGTTGACATCAAGCTTAAACACAGGTCCATTGTTTTCCGATTTAGATCTTTTTGAAGCGGTTACTACTTCTGATTCTGGTTGAGGTGAATTTTCATGGATTGGTTTGATTTCAGGATAAAATTTATTAGGATATGGAGTTATATATTTATAACTGGCATGACTTTTACGAATTTCACACCAAGGTGCATCAGTTTCAATTAATAATCGATCAATTGGGATCTTGGATGCTACAATTAAGTTTTCTTCTGTTTTAAGTGAACAACCATTTATTCCAATATAAAATCCTAAATCCAATATTTTGGCTAATTCATCTTCTGTTCCCGTGAATGAATGAACGACTCCATTTCCTTTAATAATGGATCCATTTTCAATATATGGTTTTAGAATTGAGATGAAATCATCACATGCTGCTCTCATATGTAAAAATAAAGGTAATTGTAAATGTTTCAATTCTGCATGAACATCAAGTTGTCTTTTAAACATTTCACATTGTTGATGTTTATTGGAATAATGTAATCGATCATAATCTAACCCAATTTCACCAAATGCTTTTACATGTCCCAATTCATAACCTTTAATTGCAATTTCTTTCAATCTGGTCAATTTCTCATCAACATCTTCTCTTAAGGTATCGGTATAATTCCCATTATCATCCTTGATATAGAATTCTTGAGCTACAGTACAAGGATGTACACCAGTAGTGGAATCGAAATTATTGGAATATTGTTCACAAAGAGCAAAATGGTCCTCACTTTCTTGTATGTTAGAAGCAGTGATTAGCATCTTATCAACATTGAATAAATGAGCGCGTTCAATAACTTGATTGATATCACAAGGATGTTTTGCCCCATGAGACCCATGATAACGGCCCTGAAACATTCCATCGGAGAAGTTGACTCCAATGTCGTAATATCTTGGTCTCCAAGTTGACATATTTGTTTTGAATACTAAGTTGGGTTTGGAAAGAACGGGTAAAGCTCTTCGTATCATTTCATGAAAACTTGGGGGGAAGGGAAAAGGACATTGAAAAATATGAAAAATTCTACCATTTTGCAAAAAAAAAAAGTTCTTCTTATGCCATTGTATCTGTTGATTGCCAAAGAGACAGAGAGTAAACTGACAATGAGTGATGATTTAGATAGAATTCTTGCATTGGAAGAATCAGCATTGAATAAGAATAAAGAAATTGAACGTATTCTTCAATGTTGTCAATTTGATTATTTCAATATTTTAGAAATAAATCCATTAAGTGTTGCAAATATTGATGAACTTCCTTTAATGATTAAAAAATTATATAGAAAGAAATCATTACTCATTCATCCTGATAAAACAGATAATCCTAATGCATCTGATGCATTTGATCGATTGAAAAAGGCAGAAAGGATTCTTTCTGCCAATGAAAGTGATGATGAATTATGGAAAGAAAAGAATCGATTACTTGCAATCTATCAAGCAAGTTATAATAAACAAAATCTTGATAAATCATTATCATTTAATGATATTCAGAATCAAACGATTAGAACAAAAGTTGAAGAAATCTTACAAGATGAAATTAATCATGAAGAATTACAACGATTAGTTCATCAAACAACAGAAACTCGTAAACATGAACTACAAGAAAGAATTAAACGAGAACGAGAATTGAAAAAGAAAATGGAAAATCAATGGGAAGATGAACGTGATAACAGAGTTAAGAATTGGAGAGGTTATGTAAATAAAGTTGAAAAGAAGAATAACAATAAAAACAAGAAGAAGAAAGATTCAACCACCAAAAAGAAGTCAAAATTGAATATATTGGCTTGAATCAACCGCCAAACCATCCAATTCCACTGGTCCCAGTGAGTGAGCATACTTTATTTGGATCAAAACTGAAGATGGGAATGAAAGAAAAAAAGTTTTTTTCTTTTTCTTTAGATTTACAAAATTCAATCCCGGGGCAGATTAGATCAAATACACCACACTGATAGATTCAATAGAAAATGGCCAATCCAAATATCTCACAAATAGTTTCCATAGGATTAGTATCCTTCTTGACAGGTTACTATTTAAGACCATACATCGGATGTGTCTCTCAATGTACCAAAAAATCCAAGAAACATATCCACAGCAGACCACCATCCTCATCATCCACCACGGCTTCATCCGAAGAATCAACTGAAGATTCATATTATTCTGAAGATTCAGAAGAAGACGAGGATGATGGAATAGATATCAATTCAACTGCATTAAATGAAATCCCAGGTGAAGTAAGAATGACCCTTATAGTACGTCAAGATCTTAAAATGGGGAAAGGAAAAGCGGCAGCTCAATGTCTGCATGCTACGTTAGCATTATATAAAAAGATTACCAACCCACATTCAGAAGCTTATAATCCAGATATGGTTAGTCGATGGGAATATGGAAATGGTCAAGCTAAGATTACTTTGCAAGTACCTAATCAAGAAGAGATGGATTTATTATATGCTCAAGCTATTAGTTTGGGGATCAATGCATATATTGTCCATGATGCGGGTAGAACTCAGATTGCTGCTGGTAGTGCTACCGTTTTAGGTTTAGGCCCTGCCCCAAAGAAAGTCATAGATCAAATCACCAAAGATTTAAAATTATATTAAAGTATATTAATACATATAAAACACACATTGAAATTTTGGTACCGAATAAAAATGAACAAATAAATATAAATATAAAACAAAGTCATTATTATTAATTATATAGACAGGTAACTAGAACGGAGAAATCCGTTCCTTTTATCGAAATAATAAACAAAACATGATAATAATATTACAAGCGTTTTCTAATAGATCCTCGCATTGACAATGGGTTAATCGCAGAACTTGCCCTTCTTTTCCTTTTTCTTGCACCCGAAATCGAATCATCCACATCTAGCAACACACCACTGTCTTCATCATCATCGTCATCGTCATCACTAACTCCAATTCCCCCAATAACGTCATCATCATCATCGTCGTCATCATAGAAATCAACATCTCCCAACCCAAGTGAAGATTTCCTCCTTGGATCTCTGGACTGACCTGATCTATGCCCATTCCTCAATTTCTCCAAATAATCAATTCTCGACCATATCTCACCTTCAGTTCTTTGTGGTAATAAAATCGACAATTCTGCAAATGATAATTCCCTATTTCTTCTATTGATCAATAACTCATCTTCTTCCATCGACCAAGGAATATCTAATGGAGGAGGATTTGGAGTCCCTGATTTAATAGGCGGCTGTGACCGTCTCATTTTCCCTCTTTTCTTATTTGATGCATCCAATTTCTCTCGATCTATTCTCAATGGCTGTTGTTGCTGTTGTTGTTGCTGTTGTTGTGATTGTTGTTCAGAATCCCCTCCATCTTTTTTATCTGTCGAATGCGGTATCACTACTGATCCAGAACGAGAATAATATCCCAGATTCGTACTCACAACACTACTATTTCTCAAACTAGACACTGTGGTTTGTTGGATCCCCGTTGCACCTGATAAACTAGGATTCCTTGATGGTCCACTTATACTCCCCGTACTACCGAATAATACCGGTAAATGTGCCAAAGCATTATTTGTAGTTTGATGATGAGGGATATTCATTGATTTGGAAGGTAGAGAAGAAACAGAAGCCCTGGTGATTGAAGATATGGAAGTACGATCATCTCTTGTAGTTTGAATAATTGAATTATTACGGAATGCCATCAGGGCAGAAGGTGCTAATGGAGCAATACCTATTCCACTACTTGGGATAGTTGTAGAACCTGTTTGTGAGATTGAATTTCTTGGTGTGAGTGAAGACGGGGTGTGTGGATGGTTTTGATTATGGGGGAGGTTCATGGTTGGATCAACTGAGATTTCCGTATAATAACCCCCAGAATCAGACGGTCCATTGGGAGGAAGATTGTTAGATTGGGCAGCTGCTGTGGCTGCCGATTGAGATTGTGGATCCAAAGTATTGGTGGTTTCTGTTTTCCCTTCATATTTATGTGATAATCCACTAATACTTCCATTTAGACTTGGAGATGTTATACCTCTTGGAGTTGAAGGATTGGTATTTATCATTGGACTAGATATATATGATGGAGAATTAGATAATGCATTTAAGCCAGCTAAAGCATTTGAAATATTATTATCAAACCCTTGGAATGTTCCATGAGTAATGGGGGAAAATGCAGGTGCAAATCCACTTGGAGTTGTTTCTTGTTTTATTTGTGATGGACGTCTTCCAAGTGCTGCGCTAGATGGAATACCGGTGGTAGCTGGAGTAGGAGTTGAAGAAACAGCAGTAGTGGCAGCCTTTTTGGCTTTCTTTTGAGCAGCAGCAGCCATCATGGCTTTGGTATTTATTTGAGTACCTAAAGCTGCAGCTGATTTAGGTGGATTTTTCAAATTTCCTGATTTTAATCTTCTCCATCTAAATTGACAAGCATTAGGTGTTCTATTATTAAAATGACTGGCAATTTCTTTCCAACCCAATTTTTGATTATCTTTTAAATGCATTAATAGTATATCATCCTCGGCATCCCATGAAGTGGGCGTACGTGAATAGTTCTTGGTTGTACCTTGTTTGTCACCCTTTGGACTTGAAGAAGAAGTCACCTCGGCATTAGTCGGTTCTCCAGAACTAACTCCAACTGTCCCGGCCGTTGTCGTTGTCGACGATGAGGAAGTTGTCGAATGAAGGCCAGAATCATGTGGTAGTTTTACAGGAGAAGATGCACTCATAATCATTTGACTGTATATGTGTTACTATTATCACTTAATGGTTTATGGTGTTTGTATAAATTGTATATTATTATTTATGTGTAGGTGAAATGAAATTATCAAGTGTAAACTAAAAGAAAGAAACCCTTGATTTAAGATGATCATCGTTTTTCCGTCGACTGTTTTTTTAGTTGTCTCCCCCATTCAATAATTAGTTAGAGAAAAAACGTCGAGTGAGTGCACTGCCAGCCACACTCGCACTCACACCGAACGGACAGAACGACAAATTGGTAAGTGAGAGAGAATTCGTAGTGCGACTTACAAAGAACACAACCAGCGACCAAAAAATCAGACACAGAAAAAAAAAGAATAAGTTTCTTTTTCGTTTTGTGTCTGTCTGTCTGCTCTGTCCAACCTTGGAAGTTTTTTTTTGGTACAGCACAAGGGGGGGAAGTAAACTTAAAATGCCCCGCATTAATCAAATATTCTATTGTTCTTTAAAATTATTACTTCAAATCACGTGATATATAAATTAATTTCTATACACATTTTATTTTGAATCAATTTAGATACCGGTTTATTGTCCCGTTTGTAGTTACACTAAAAAATGTCCCAACGGCTGTCAAAGGGGGAGGGGGTTGGTTATATTTGCCCTACTTTATCGGCCCAGATCTTTTCAGCTTCGACGATAGTGTTGTTATTAGCTCTCATCTTGTTCATTGTTTCCATGTATTCATCATATTCATCACTATCAAATACAATCCCACCACCTGCTTGTAAATATGCCACTCCGTCTTTGTACACCATAGTTCTCAAAGCGATACAGGTATCCATTGTCTTTCCATCATAGCCCCAATGACCGACCGCACCGGCATAAACCCCACGTTTTTCTTTTTCTAACTCGGCAATTAATTCCATCGCCTTAACTTTTGGTGCACCACTAGTTGTACCTGCAGGGAATATAGATCTAAATGCATCAAATCTAGTTTGATCATCCCTTAAAGTACCACTAACTTCAGAAACTAAATGCATAACATGAGAAAATCTTTGAATCGTTAAAAGTTTATCTACCTTATTCGAAGTAGGTTGACAAACTCTATTGATATCATTACGAGCAAGATCAACCAACATAATATGTTCAGCTCTATCCTTTAAACTTGATCTTAAGATTTCGGAATTAGCTTCATCTTCTTCATTGGTCTTTCCCCTTGGAATAGTACCTGCAATTGGATGGGTGACTACTCTTCCATTACTATCTGATTGAACTAATAATTCTGGGGAGGCACCAATAATTTGAAAATCTAATAAATCAATATAAAATAAATATGGAGATGGGTTAACGGTTCTTAAGTGACGATAGATATTGAATGGATGTAATGATGTAGGACGAGCAATTCTTTGAGATGGGACAGCTTGAATAATATCACCTTTCAAAATATGATCTTTTAAGGTTGTTACATGTTGTTCATAGCCTTCTTGTCCAATATTAGAAGTGAAGGTTTGATTCATCTTAATTGGACCTTGTACTGGATTGATATCTTCTGGCTTTGCATCAGATAATAATACCTTTTCAATTTCATCAATTTTAAAACTACCCAATTGATAATTCTTTTCAACATCTTGTTCATCATCTACTTTTATATTATAAATAATTTGAAATCTTTGGAAAACATGATCAAAAACAATGACTAAATCACATAACATCAATACTGCTTCAGGTAATCCCAAAACATCTTCCAATGGTCTACGAGTCTTTGGTTCGAAATATTTAATACAATCATATGAAATATAACCAGTAGCACCTCCACTGAACTTAGGTAAACCAGGTAATGAAGCTTGTCTATATTGATCCAATTCCTTTTCTAATACCGTGATTGGATCTACATTACAGAAATCTTTACTAAATTTGCTGGCATCATCACCAGTCTTGATAATCTTGGTTGGATTAATACCAATAAAAGTATATCTGTCGACAGTATCACCTTTAACAGAAGATTCGAAAAGGAAAGATGGACCTCTCTTTGGATCATTCAATCTGGCTAACTTCAAATACGCTTGATGGGTACTAATATCATTATGAGGAACATATTTATAAATTGGATATAAGTTTGGCTTATCTGGTTTTGATGAATTAGATTCAATAATCTTATTCAAAGTCGCAATGGATGGCTGGACTTTCGATTGCTGCATTTCTAGTTAGTCTAAATGTTACGGTCTTCAATAAATCTTTTAGATTGAAATCTACTTACCATTTTCTGATGGTTTTTATATGGCGATGTCTGCCAGTCATTGTTTTGTAAATGAGTCAAACTGAAAATTTTTTTATTTGGCGCGAAACAGGTAAGCGAAGGGAGCTACCAGTTGTGTGTGGTTTGCAAGAATTTGCAGCAACAATAAATAAATAATGATCAATACTTCTCTATAAAACTATGCCGGTTTATTCTATATACATGTAGATATTCTATATTGTCTTAATGACATCATGCTTTAACAAACAACTTCCAGTAATTGGATCTAAGTAAATAAGTGAATCACATAAGACTCTACTACCAACCAGTTGAAGTGAGTCAGCAACTGTCAAAACATCAACCTCAAGATCCAATTCAGAGCAATATGCCCTTGAAATAATATAATCTTCATTATTCTTGATTTTATCACCTACAAAAGTGATTACACATTCGTATTCAGTCTTAAGTGTCGAAGATCCAAATTCTTGCTCTAGTGATCTTTGTTCTAACCATTTTAAAGTCCAAAACCTTTTCATATTAAATCCAATGAATTTAGCTATGTCATCTCCATAATTTATATGATTCAATAAAGAAGACAAGATATCGACAGAATATGGTCCATTCGTATTATATCCAAATCCTTTTAATCTGCTATATTCGTCATGGACAACTAATGGAGACATACCTTTATTCATATATACTTCTTGTAATTCAAACTGTTTGAACGACAATAACTGAAGTTGATTCATAATTGCTTCCCCTTTGTCGAACACCTCAATTGCGTTGACCTCACCCTTCTTGAGTCCAAGTGGGATATTTTCCAGTTCTTTCGAAGGTTTCAATTCAATCCTTTCTGGAGCAAGATAGTTCTTGGCAATGAGATTAGTTAATGGTGACATATGTCTTCTAACATCTTTTGCAAAAAGAACTTGAGCATATGAACTTGCTTCATAATCACTTTGGATAATATTAGGACAAAGTACTACCACTTTATCTTCTTCAAATTTCGATCGATCAATGTCTTGAGATCTAGTGAATACGGGAATCCGGTTTAATTCACAATATTCGCTAACTAACCAACTTGTTAGATATTGCAATTCTTGAATAAATGATTTCGCTTTAGTATACTCCAGAGAATCCTTGACTAATTTGAATTTCTTGCGTGACCCTTCATTTGTTTCAACTTCGATGGCTTCCTTGTGTAACGCTGATGCATCATCAATAGACCGCATCTCATCTGGATCGGTAGTAAGCGATCCTGCATTATTCCTGGTTTTAAATACGTCTAACAAGATAGTGTGGATTAAAGTAATATTATTGGAATCTGATTTCGTAAGAGTGGGTTTGGGTTTGACTGGACGACCAGTGGTTTTCAATAAATTCAAGATAGTTGGTTCGAATTCTCCCTTTAAGCATTTATCCAAGGATTCATAATGCTATAAAGATTATCACTGTAATCTTTACAGTAGTTTTGACTGGGAATGAAAAAGCTCTAGGTTTCCTAATGGATTACGATCAAATGTGCTCACATCCAACGATACGGTCATACATGTCATGGTCGGTCCATCCGTATTTGCCCTGATTCTTTTTCTGACGGGACTTTTACCAAACTCGTCTATTCTAGGCTCATTGGATACGCCATAAAACCTATGAGCTCTAATATCATCAAACAAATCAAACACACTGGAGTTGTTAAACCAATTCTTAAGTGCCCTCATATTGGAATATTGCTTGTTGAAAATTTTATCCATTGCAGTAGTACTAGGTGAATAGAAAGCAACCCCTAGCCCTTATACTTATAATTACCAGACAAATGCACTTGAACGTGCTCATTATCATATACCCAACTGTGTCAGAGATTCGTGTTTATTATCCAATGGTAATCCAATTATAATATCATCGTTATAATATTTGCGTTCTCCTCTTAATTGCTTAAATAGGTCTCGTTTAAAATAATCAGCTTCTTCTGTAGAGGAGGAATCAAGCTCGTTAACGTCGGCACAACTTAGGAAATGGGTATATTTGCCACATAAACCCAGCGATAATAATGGATCAGTGATTTTCTCATTATCATAAATTCCTAATTCTTGGAGTATTTGATATATATCACTTGGATTTTTTATATTTTTGAAAACATCTAAAGAAATAAGATGTCTCATTATGGAAGGATGGGGATAAATTAAAACAAATTTCAAGACATCAAATAAATACTTATATTTCCTTCCTTCTTGAACATAAAAATAAACCTCTATATCAGAAGCCAGTCCTTTAGCTTTAAGCTGTTGTTGATAGAAGTCATTCAAGAAGGAATTCATCTCTTTTAATGATAGATCATGTTCCACAGTTCTGAACTTTAATAGATAACTCGAAGATAAGAGATTACACAAGTGTTTTATTGAGTCAAACGAAATATAACTATTTGAATGGCCATGAAGATAAATATTTGATGTTAGACTATTTTGCATATAGTTCGGCACCAACCAGTGAGTTGTTTGCAATAAACCCCAATGTAATGCTGTTAGGAGAATACCTTGATTGAAATACAGTTCGCTTGATTTTATAACCACAGCTTCTTTGAATTTAATCTTTTCAATTATTTCTGTGAGTGATATTGCTTGGATCCTATCCCTGGCAATTTGTAGAAACAACCGAGAATAATCAGGTCTAAGCCTGTCCATTAACTCCCATGCCTCCTCAATAAATAATCGCAATAATTCGACTGCTCTGGATCTCTCCAGATTATCAGGATCATGTCTGTTGTCAAGAATATCTTGAAATGAAATATAACTATTGGGTATTATCAGATATAAATGAAACTTTATATATATAGGAGGAACTTGTATAATTTCATTCTCGGAAGTTAAAACAAGTAACTTATTAATCTTTTCATCGAATCTGGCTTGTTGCTCCCGTATCACAACCCCAAATATAATCTTTGAATCGGTAGGATCAACTATCTCCACTATGGATCCTTTCACAGGCACTTGAATTGTGTTTTGATTTATGATAGTCCCAAAATTCATCGGTGGGACCCATGGACGTTCTTGTTCTTTATACTCCCTATTTGCATACTTCCCGTAAAACTTCTCAGGGTTAAGGAAGGATATCCTCTTTCTATAATACAGTTTGATTTGTTGTTCCAAGGTTTCATTCTGATGTTCTTCAGGAGTATTGCTAAAGAAGTTGGACGTTACCTGAAAAACATAAGGACTCAATTCACTTCCTATAGCATAAGCACCTCTCAACAGCACTCGAATCCCTGGACGAGGAGATCGTATCATTATTGTTGTGCTTGATAGATCTGTGCTTAGGGGGTTCTGGTGAACAAGCCGACCGAAAAATTTGACCGCCAGGGGAGAAAAATATTTTGTATGAGGCTGGGGTCGCATCGAAAACTCTATCTGATCAAAAAGCAAGATGATCTGTCTGTGTACCCGTAAAGAGAGGTTGGTTTACTACGAATATATGTGTTATATATTTATATGTATATTCTTGTAAATATAGATATATATAATAACTCTACTTCGTAGAAACATGATAGTGGCGTAAGAAGTTAAAACGTGGTCGTTGTCAGTGCAGTTTACTTTCTTCAATTGGTTTAACTGGGAACGCATGACTCAAGGTAAACGGTTTACTAGCATCATTGAATTCATGATTCCTTACAAATTCGTATACTTTAATAACTGAATCGGCAGAATTGTTGAACACACGACGGAAAAATGGTAAACGTTTAGACTAGACATGATTTCTTAGTGCTTCACCTTCAGGTTCTGTAGGCTTTGGCACCTCTGCCGGAATTTCAGTTGGTGTAGCTGTTCCATTCAAAGGTTCTCCTGGAACTGGAGATCCTAATCTATGACCAGTCCCGAAGTATCCAGCAACTTTCCTTTTGGGTGGTGTCCATTCTTCATCTGTCTTTTTAAACACAGAGACATCGACATCTTGGCCAAATTCAACATCTAATATTGAAATTGGCACTCTTCCTTGATTCAATTCCTGTAATACATTAGTATTCCTAGGATCATCATATCTATATAATGGACCATCTTCACCTACAGTAAATCCTTGTTTCCAAAATGTGATCTGTCTTGTCACTTTATTAGGCGGACGAGGGAATCTACTAGAACTGAGATCGGGTATTTCTTGACTTGGTTCATTACTATCACCCAATTTGAACCCCCTACCTGTAAATTTAGGTTGTTTTGGTTCATTTTCTCCGGATGCAGCACTTGGGCGATCATCAGGCTGAGTCATTTGTTCTTTGGCTCTTTGGAAGATTTGATCAATAAGCGAATCATTACCTGACTTTTTATCTTTATTTGGATTTTCCACTTGAAGTCCTGATTTTTCACCCCCAGTGAAATAATTCATACCAGGTTTGTCGTCGTCGGAATCATCTCCTTCTGGAGCGTTTAAGTCTCTAAGGGTTCTAAACTGGCCTCTTTCGGAAGTGTTAGTAAGTCAATCACTAGTCTCATAACTACAACATGAGTATACATACCCTCTTTGACTAGAAGGAGTGCTTGAAGGATCTTTGTTGGCATAATAATCCTCCACTGCTTCAACCACGTCGTTATCATTTCTTTGTAAGTATTGTTCAGCCAAATATCTAGATGAATTTGTAATTGCTACAAATTCTTCAATCGATTCTTCAGCAGCTTTATCGGACATTGTGGTTTCTTATTACTTTCACTTAAATTGTTGATGATTTGACAATTAACAATCAACAAGTCGTAAACTTATGAATTACTAAAGGGTGAAACGTGAGGGCAAAAAAAAACCACGATACGACATTGCCACATTTACAAATGCGACATGTTTTGTTAGCTGCAAGAATCCTCCTGCCAAGGAAACCATAAGGTTCTACAAGTAAGACTCTACAGACTACAGAAGAAAAGGTACCAAATATATGTTTATTTCATATATAATATTACTTTTAATATATTAAATATTTGGCTTGTTGAAATCCCAAATAATAATAAAACAAAAATTAAACAAATAAACAAAAAAAGAACAATAATAATATGAACATAAAAACGTATTTTTCTCTCATTTCTTCGTCATCAACCAAAGTAAAGTAAAAATAGTAAAATAAATTACATTAATGTTGAATAAATGTAATCAGCTACAGCATCAACAACACAAGAATTGAATAATGCAAACAAAACACTAAAGTCTCAGCAATAGTATTTAGTATTTAGCACGGAATTCCTTAGCAGCTTCAACCATATTAGTTAAGGATTCCTTAACTTCTGGCCAACCTCTAGTCTTTAAACCACAATCAGGGTTAACCCAGAACTTATTGGCTGGGTAAACCTTTAAGATTTCTTCAATTCTAGAAACAAATTCTTGCTTGGATGGAATTCTTGGGGAATGGATATCGAATAAACCTAAACCAATGTGATTTGGATATTCAGCAAATTCTTGAATATAGTTTGGATCATCCTTCTTGGAGAATTCAATAGAAACAACATCAGCATCTAAAGCCTTGATATGGTTTGGATCTAAATCAGAATAACAGAAATGGGAGTGGATTTGAGTAGAGTTTTCAACACCAGAAGTAGCAACACGGAAAGATTGAGCAGCCCAGTTTAAGTAGTCAGATCTTTCTTTACCAGCTCTTAATGGTAAACCTTCTCTGATAGCTGGTTCATCAACTTGGATAACAGTAATACCAGCAGATTCTAAGTCTTGAACTTCATCTCTTAAAGCTAAACCTAATTGTAAAGCTTGAACCTTACCAGAAACATCATCTCTTGGGAAAGACCAACGTAAAATGGTAACTGGACCAGTTAACATACCCTTCATTGGAGACTTGGTAATAGATTGAGCATAGACAGATTCCTTAACAGTCATAGCCTTTGGCCTGGAAACATCACCGACAATAATAGGTGGTCTGACATATCTGGAACCATAAGATTGAACCCAACCGTTGGTGGTGAACGCGAAACCTTCTAATTGTTCACCAAAGTATTGAACCATATCGTTTCTTTCTGGTTCACCATGAACTAAGACATCTAAACCAATTTCTTCTTGGAATCTAACAACAGTTTCAATTTCCTTGTTGATAAAAGTTTCATATTCTTCAGCAGTGATTTGACCTTTAGCAAACTTGTTTCTGTTAATTCTAATATCTTTAGTTTGTGGGAAAGAACCAATAGTGGTAGTTGGGAATAATGGCAAGTTGTATTTAGCCTTTTGTTCAGCTAATCTTTCTGGGAAAGCAGACTTTCTGGTAGATAAAGATTCATTGATGGTGGTTAATCTTTCTTGAACCTTAGGGTTGTTGGTAATAGAAGATTCAGATCTAGCCTTGATAGAAGCAGCGTTAGCAGCTAAAGCTTCAGAAACATCTTCACCAGAAACATTCTTAGCAATGGTAACAACTTCAACTAACTTTTGAGTAGCAAAGGAGAACCAATCCTTAATGACTGGGTCTAATTTAGCTTCAGATTCCAAGTCAACTGGAGTGTGTAATAAGGAGGAAGAAGTAGCAACAACAACCTTTTCAGCACCTAATTGTTCAACAGCCTTAGAAACAAAAGCAGAAGCCTTGGCGAAATCAGTCTTCCAAATGTTTCTACCGTCAACAATACCAACAGATAAAGTTTGGTTACCCTTTAAGATAGCAGAAACTTCTTCAAATTGTTCTGGAACTCTGACGAAATCAAAGTGGAAACCAGCAACTGGTAAGTTTTCAATAGCCTTTAAGTTTGGTCTAACATCACCGAAATAAGTAGTCAAGATTAATTCTGGAACATCATCACCAACTAATTGTTCGTAAGCAGCTTGGTATTTAGCTTGAACTTCTTGTGGTAAATCTAAAACTAAGACTGGTTCATCAATTTGAACTTGAGTAGCACCGGCTTGTTTTAATTGAACTAATAATTCTCTGTAAACTGGTAAAACCTTTTCTAATAAGGAAATTGGTTCCAAGTCAAGAGAATCCTTATCAGCCTTACCTAAATAAAGATAAGAAACTGGACCAACAAGAACTGGTCTAGTTTGGATACCTAAAGCCTTAGCTTCATTGAATTCATCAACTGGCTTAACACCGGCAGCAGTGTTTAACTTGAATTCAGTAGAGTGAGAAAAGGTTGGTCTGACGTAATGGTAGTTAGAATCGAACCATTTAACCATTTCTAAAGCAGTAACATCAACAGCTGGAGTAGATTCAGTAGCTTTTCTTTGTAAACCTCTACCCATAGCGAATAAGACATCAATTGGGGCTAAATCAAACTTGGTGTATCTTTCTGGAATAGCATTGAATAATAAAGAAAGATCTAAAACTTGATCATAGTAAGAGAAATCATTAGATGCAATGACATCAACACCAGCATCCTTTTGTAATTGCCAATTGTGGGCTCTTAATTCTTTACCCTTGGCTAATAAGTCTTCAACAGTAACCTTACCTTGCCAGTAAGATTCAGTGATTTTCTTTAATTCTCTTTGACCACCGATACGTGGGAAACCTAAAACGGATGATTGAACCATTGTGTTTTGTTTGATTGTTATGGAGTTTTATAAAACTTAAAGAAAAGAAAAAGAGGAAAAAGGAAAACCAGAAATTTTTTTTAAACTTCAGGGAATTTCAATTGACTTAAATACCTTTTTGTTTAAAAGGGGATTTTTTTTAAACTTTTCTGGACAAAGGTGAAAAATTTGAAAAAAAAATTTTGGGAACAAATCAATTTGGACAAAATGAAAAATAAAAACGTTGGAACAAAAGAACCCACGAGAAAATCTTTTGACAAATATTACACAAAGTTGATAAAATTATATCATTATGATTAAGATTTCTCGAACAATTGTGAAGTAATACGAACAACGACATTCGATGAGTTCTGTAAACCCATTGTAAGTTCTCAATTGACATCACCCAAGTTCTCCAGCAACTGAAAATTGGTCATTTCTCGGTGTGGGCGACCCTTTCTCGACCCTAAAAAATACCGCCGCAAGATCAAATAATCAAGCGGAATAATGTCGCGTCTCCTTTGATAAAAAAAATGTCGCAGCGGCAGCATATCGTTAACGCGATCATCGTATAGAACTATTTGACTCATTAAGAAATTTCACATGAAAAAAAATTATTGTGAAATGTCACGTGTTCTTATTACTTTTTGATACGTAAAAAAAAGTTAGCGAAAAGTTTTGACTCTGGATAATTTGTTGGGATTGTTGAAAAAAACAATACGAAGGGCCCGACACCGCTAACGGGATAATCACAAAGTCAATTGGCAATATACATTAAACAACCATAATGAATGAGCCTCATTTCCTGGAATATTCTCGTCTGCAGGCTTGTGTGTAAAATTCTTGAGATGAGCGGGAATTGAAATAGGATTTTATAAGCTGATTATCTGTCAATTTATGCCCGCTTAGGAGTAAGTGCCAGTCGCCGCCCTCTTTTCACTTTTCGAAGGAGTATGAAGGAGTACAGATGAGGTTTTCATTCCCATTGGGTTGTTCGTTTGTCAGTCAAGGAGCGGTATAGTTCTATCACAATTTGCATTCCTCTCTTCTCAAAGCCCGCAAGATTTTATCGTGATTTCACCACATTAAAACTTTTCTGTAAATTTTTGCTAAAATTTGCAACCAAATTAATTTTGAATTCAGCCAATTACCTTTATTCAACTGAATTAATATTTTATCTGTTAGGACACCAGGGGATAATCCAGCTATATACACAGTCATCTGAACAAGAATAGTGAGTCAGAAGTGGAAGCAGCCAAATGACATCTTGGCAAGATCAGTCTGGTTGGTTCTACTACAATAACCAAAACTCTGATTGAATAAAATAATTCCCAAGTGAAGTATGCATATCCCAGTTTGAAAGGTAACATTGATTGATGTATATTAAGTGCAGCTAGTTAATCATCATATTGTAACTAAATTGGTTGAGAGAAAGGAAATATCTTCTTACCGAAACAAATGGAAGCGAATATCACGTTGACGCCAATAAAAAGAACAACGGGAAATCCAATTACTAGAAGAATATTCCCATTTCAATTAAGAAAGAATCAAGATGTTAATTTTATAGAAAAAGTTGTTTACAATCGACAAACTTTTCTACAACAACTACTAAGGTCTTTTTGAATATTTTGCAACAATTTTTGCCAACTGCACACGACCTCTTCTCTAGCAGATTGAAATTTTTGAAAGCAATTAGCCATATTCAATTCCACTCATTGCCCCAGTCACTCGCCCACCCACTGCAAAATGTCATCATACAAATCATCATTCTTACAAATCGCTCTCGAATCCGAAGCATTAAAATTCGGTAGTTTTACCTTAAAATCCGGACGTCAATCTCCATATTTTTTCAATTTAGGATTTTTCAATACTGGTAGTTTATTATCCAATTTAGCCACTTCATATGCTCAAGCCATTATTGCATCTGGATTAAAATTCGACATTCTTTTCGGTCCAGCATATAAGGGGATCCCATTGGCTGCTATTACTGTTGCCAAATTAGCGGAATTAGATCCAGAAAATTATGCAAATATTGGATATTCATTCAATCGTAAAGAAAAGAAGGATCATGGAGAAGGGGGATCCATTGTTGGATGTGCTTTGAAGGATAAGAAGATCTTGATTATTGATGATGTTATTACTGCTGGGACTGCTATTAATGAAGCATTTGAAATTATTGGTAATGAAAAGGGACAAGTTGTTGGATGTATTATTGCTTTAGATAGACAAGAATTGACTGCTGATTCTAATATTAGTGCTACTGAAGCGGTATCACAAAGATATGGTATTCCAGTTTTATCAATTGTTAATTTGACTGAAATTATTACTATTTTGAGTGGGAAGATTAGTCAAGCTGATTTAGCTTCAATTCAAGAATATAGAAATAAGTATGGTTCTAAGAATTAAACAAGAAAAGAAGGATAAATCCTATTTATATCTTATTTATTTGGTAAAACTATTAATACACATACAAACGGAATTGTAACTGACAAAATCAACCTCTTATTTTCATGACTTTCTTTTTCATTTGTTTTGGAGCAATTGGTTTTTGTTCAGGAATTTCTGGTTCAGGATCATATATTCCTTTAGTCATTGGATGTTTCAAAGTAAAATTAGAATGTACTGGAACTATAGTATTCATTTTAAATCCTTTAACTTTAGGTATTTCTTCAGGAGTAAAATTTTGTTGAAATTCTTGAGGAAGAGCAATTCCACTCTTTTTACCAATACTATCCAAACTAGTAGGATGTTCACTTAAATAATCAGCAATAGCATTAAACAAAGCTCTTTTTGTTTTAAATCTTGAATCAACAATTTTACCACCATGTAATACATCTTTTAATAAAACTTTAACTCTACCTGGATTACCAAAATCTTGTGGATGCAGTTTATCTAATTCCAAAAACACTGGTAAATTAAATGATCTACAAGCATCACTTATAGTCTTTGCCAATGGATTTTCCACTGCACGATCAATACTTACTCTTCTACCTTCTTTATGAGATCTATTAATATCGAAATAACATGGATATATCATTTGAAATTTCAGTAGTTGTTCTCTTTCTTCTTCAGTGAAAGATTTTGGATCGACAATATCTTTATGTGATACTGGGGCATCTTCTTGTTGTTGTTGTTGTGGTATTGGTGCCATTGGCATATTTGGAAATAATGGTGGTTCAGAATCTTGAGAACGAATAATTGTCGGTTCTGGAATGGGTGGAGCAATTGGTGTTCTTAAACTTGGATCGAACTGAGCAATGTCCATATCCAATAACAGCTACAGCAGTAGTAGCTGAAGAAGATTATGACCAGAAGAACTGTAATATAGATTGTATATATTACTTAATGCCTTGAGCTCAGGTTGGTCAGATTGCTTCTACTTGTTGAACATAGAAAAAGAACAAAAGGAAGAAAAAAATTGTTCAGCAAAGAAAATCAGTCACGTGATAAATGTCATATAAATCTGATTCTGTCATAAATATTCTTAATTAATGCGACACTCATTTTAATGACTGGGGGAAGATTTCCGGAAATAGACAAAATCCCAAAAAGATTTTTTTTCGTTTCTTTTCTTTTTTTTAATCTTTTCTCTTGAAATTTTGACTTCACACTCAAAGAAAGAAAAGAAGTCAATTTATATTTTCATTTACGAATCATCCACAACTTTAAATCTTCCGTCTTTTTCTTCACTTATGATCATATAGATAGATAGACAAACAGACACATAGTCACGTTATAGAAACAGAGCCACAATATGGAGGAAGAAAGATTCAGTTTAGATACAATACAATCAAGTACATCTCAAGTACTTCAAGAATGTCTTGATATTTTTCAAAGTCCAATTCATCAACAATATATTCATAGTCCAATTAATAATAGCCAAAGTTATAATAATCATCCCGATATTCAATATTTTCAAAAAGTAAAACATAAAAACCATTTCACTTATCATAAATCAAAATCATCACATTCATCTCCACATTTAAGAACTGGATCAACCGGAAATATAGATAAAATTCAATCCTCTAATAGAATATCCCCAGCTATATTTGATCCATATAATCTAGATGCATTATTAAATAGACTACATACTTTTAATGTCTTAAGTTGGCAAATACCAGATATACCAAACACTCCACATCAATTAAATGAATTGAAATGTGCCAGAAATGGTTGGAAATGTGTTTCATTATCTCCAAATGAAACAACCAAGAATCATTTAATGTGTACCAATTGTAATCAACAACTCATCTTAAACTTCTTTGAACATCATCAATATCCCCAGCATCATATATATCATCCTACAACAACATTCAACTATGAATTCCTAACCGATGACGTCAATATCGAAGACACAACCAATCTACATCAAAAACTAATCCAAAAATACATCATCCAAATCGAATCCACCGGACACGCTCCAGATTGTTCTTGGAAAAATTTCGAAACTCCATTAGATGGAGTCTATTATCCTCGTCATTATCTTCCACAAACAAACGAATTCCTTATCTCACAATATCTCAAAAATCTCAAAAGTCTAACCGACAATTCCACCCTCCTACAACAATTCGCCGATGACGCCCTAGATCAGACATATTTATCCCATAGCATTAATCAACCACCATCAGACCCAAGACTCATATCTATATCCAATGAATGGCTAATCGCACGCTATTTCAAGCAAGATAAAGAAAACTCGGCCCTATTGCTACAATACACCCCAGCATGGATATATGAAATGGCAATATATGGCTGGACCCTCTATGCTCAACGATATGCTCAAGATGTGATCTTGTTATTGGCTTGTAATATGTGTAATTCGAGGGTTTTTTTGAATACTGTTCCCAAAGAGCATGTGGGGAATTTACCACCAAGTACGAAAATCTTACCGCTGGTGAAATATCCGATAACCCAGATGACTCAGGTTGATGAATCGGAGTTTGATAGTGAGGAACTGATCCTGCTGCTGGTGGTGGTGGGAGAGACTGGGGTTGGGTGTGAGAAGAAGTTTAATCCGATAGATAAACATGAACATAAATGTTGGTGTCCATATCGATATGATGAAAGTTTGGTTGATTATATATGGTGTATGATATTACAATCAGGTTCGAATATTGGTTTGAATGGGGAATTTATAAATCATGATAAAATGATTATTGAAAATATTTCTTCAAGAATGATGAATAATAATAATAATGGGACTGGTATGAAAAGAAAGAAGAGCTTTAGTGTAAATGATGGTTTGGAAAGATTACAGAAATTACGTAAATTATATTTAATAGATGATTAGGTGCTAGCTTATATAGTAAATTATAATAATAGATTTCATCCCGTTGCATTAAAAACTAACTAAAAAATTAAACTAATAATAACTTATAAAATCAATAAAAATACATTTATTCAAAAACAGAACTCCAAAACAAAAAAAAACAACTTTCATCTCTATGTACATTCATTCTTTTTCTTTTTCAGCTAATCAATTAAATCCTAGACACATTGCCCTCCACCACCTTCTTCTTAGGCGGCTCGCTAAAATCCAAAATTTCAATAAAAGTTTCCCCCTCTTCATCATCATTAAACCGTTGAACAGCAGCCACGCATCGTCTATAATCAATCCTCACCTGCCAAATGCCCCCCGTCACATCCGCCAACAAATCCCTAGCAAACACCCCCCTTCTCACATCCCACAACTTCAACATCTTCTCACTCCCACTCACAACCCTTAACGCATCATGTTCAAAACAAGTAATGGCGGCACCATGGCCCTTGAGTCGACTCATGACTTCTCCAGTCACAGGATCCCATATTCTCAACGTGGCATCGGCGGCAGCACTCACAAGTACCCCATCGACAAGATCTAATAATCCTACTAATGAAGAATGTCCTTCTAAAGTCTTGATTAATTTCCCGGTTTCGAAATTCCACATGTTTATATTTGAATCCATCGAACCGGAAAAACAAGTTTTGGTATTGAAATCCATGGCGGTGGAATAGACTCGATCTTGATGTCCGGTGAGGACGTGTTTACAATTGCCGTCCTGGAGAAGATCCCATACTCTGACGGTTGAATCGTATGAGCCGGAGATTATTATGTTTCCGTAGCCCGAGATTGATCTAACTGATTGAGTATGGCCCGATAAGACATGGAGTAAGTATGGATTATCAATTTCACTGCTGTCAAAAGTTGGTTGGTCATCACTTGTGGATGTTGTGCTTGTAGCTGGACGACTATTCATCCCATCTTCAATATCTTCATCATCATTGTCATCCTCACATAATGGTAATCTCCATACATGAATATTATGATCTCTTGATCCAGTAACCAAAAGGGGGAATTGGGGAAATATGATATCATTCCCATTTGAATCCTTTCCAATATTTGCCGGATGGATAATATCAAGACATCGAATTGTCGAAGTATGTCCCCGGAATACATGAGTACATTTCCCGGTTTTCATATTCCATACCCTAACTGTCCGATCAGTCGATCCAGTAACTAATGTATTCCCAGTATATTTCAATGCCCAAACCCCACCTTCATGACCTTCCAAGACTTTTAATAATTTCCCGGTTTTGGTACTATAGATTAATATACATTTATCATCTACTCCAGTTACGATTTTTTCATCATCATGTTGTAAACATGTGACTACTTTATTTCCATGACCGGTGACACAAATTCTTTTGGGTTCATAATTGGGGTTCATCCATCTATTAACGATGATACTTCTTTTTTTGTATAAGACTTGAGCCGGGTTCATTCCTGGTATTCCACCCCATTCTTGCATTAATTGGGTTGGATTGGCAAGTTCTTGTCTAATTATGATATCATCGGTTATTAATTTATCCTTTTTCAAGATATTAATCCAAAGATTTGGATTATTAATAATTTCAAACCATTTTTTACAAACTCGTGATAATGAAAGTAGGGTTTTTGAATCTAAATATGATAATATTTTCATGGTAATTTCAACGGGTAAATTACTTAATAAATCTCTTTTTAAAGAATTATGAATTAATTCATTAAATGTACTTAATGATGCACGATTTATATTTTGTAATAATTTAAAAATTAAATGATTTTGATTTCGTTCATTAAAATAGGGAAATAAATTAGTAACAATATCCATTAATTCACCTTGAGTAGTTGGGATATTGGAGAATTGTTTTTCTATTGGATCTGAATATTTAGGTATTTCAATATCCAGTTGGACTGGAGATGCACTTGGAGAAGGAAGGGGTAATTGTTGTATTGGATCTTCTTCAATATCGGAGATAGGTGTATGTGAAGGTGAATTTATAGCAGTTGGAGTTCTTGGGCGACGTACATGTATTACTTGTTGCTGCTGCTGCTGTTGTTGTTGTTGTACTTGTGATAATGTTGGAGCAAGTACTGATTGGTCTGCAGTGTTGGCAGTACTTTGTTGACGAGCCATTAGTGTATGTTGTGGTTGTTGTGGTGATAAAATACCCGCGAAAGAATCTAGCATAAATGGAGTTGTTGTATTCATTTCCGATAAGACATTACTAGTTAATCTTCTTTTTGGAGGATGGATTAAACCTTGTCTATAACTATGACCATGACCACTTGAAACTTGTGAATTATTTGTATCAGTATCAGAAACTATTATATCATCACAAGATATCATACTTTCACGTTCATCATCAGGACCTCCAACATCTCCAACATTTCTCTTTCTACTTTCACGTGATATATTATTATTGTTATTAATAGTATTAGTACCTTCTATAGTATTAATAGATAACTTTTGATATTCTTTATGTAACCAAACATCAGATAATTTACCATTTGGATTGGAAAACTTATAATCATATTTTGCAACATAATCACGTAAAGGATATGTAAAATTTGAACTACCGTAATTATTGTTGTTATTATTATTATTCGTCATAGTAGTTCTATCTCCTTTAGATTAGTAGTAGTCTATTATCAAATGTATTATATATCCCCTTTTGGTAGTATATTGATAGTTGTTGTTGATTGGTTGTTGTTGTAAAAAAATCTAAAATGGCAACTAAAGGGAAAAAAAAATCAAAAACTTAAAAAAAAAACTTAATGGAATTTGAAAACAATTTACAAAACCAGAACTTGTAGATTTAAAACACAAACTAATAAGTTACTGGAAGGGTTAAGTTTTATAAATGGAAAACTTCTTCTTAAAAAATGCAAACAGGAGATTTAATCTTATTTGTTTCTCTTATAGTTTGTAGTTGTAGTAATTTAGTTAAAGATAACTACTCTCTTGGGGATTGAAAGAAGATATTTAGATTTTCTTGATAAAATTATTTGAAAATTAAATGTAAACTTATGCAACTAAAACTTCCTTTGTTCAGTAGGATATATATATATCTATCGGTTCAGTTGAAGGTATTAATAGTATATCTATATGGTCGCTAAGTAATTTAAGCGCCTTTGATTTAGGGTTGCTGTTGTTGTTTGTTGTTGTAAAGTAATGGTTTGGGTAGTTTAATAAATTTATGGAGTTTGAATTTTACCCGAGAAATAAAACGAAAGCAGAATTTACAATTTACATTCAAAAGAATCTTTGAAAGAGTCAAACAAAAAAAAAGAAGAAGCCGCACCACCATTTTTAATATCAACATCTGAATGGATGGAATCTTCATCTTCATCATCGTCATCATCAGAAAAAACTTTTTTTCTTGCTTATCATTATTTAAGCTTTTTTGAGAATTAATTTATTCATAATTTCTCGTGATACAAATCAGTCTGTCTAACCGTTTACATAAAAATTACAATAAACATATTTTTAGTAAAGAGTAGTACAGTAGATTCAGTTTATTTATCCGAGGTATTACTTTAGATTATATCTTTGTATTTCTATTCAAATATAATTTAGATTATTTGATCATACTTAGATAACCTTCTGCATTTTCATAACTTTCTGATCTTAACTCCATACATTTACGTTTTTTATTTGCTGTTGTAAAATTTTGCAATTAAAGTAAGTTCTGTTTTATCGTTTATGGTTTATTAATTTCTATACAAAAAATATAATTTTAATTATTATAATTATTCTTATTTAAAATTTAAATGTTCTTAATCATAATACCTGGTTCACCTGGTACAGCAGAATCAATAATCTTACCAGTAATAGTAATAGGTACTTCTTCACCAGTAAGAATATTATTTCCAACTTTTGATCCATTATCAAATGAAATAATTTCAACTTCTTCAACATTAATAGAATAAGTTGCTCTCTTAATATTATTAACAGTTGCTTTTAATGTATCAATTTCATTAAATGTCAACTTTCTATTGAAAACAGTAGTTGGATCAACAGTGGTTAATCTTTGTTTAATCATAGTAATAAATGGCATAGCTCTCTTCATATCTTTACCAACACGTTCTCTAATAACTTTAGTATCATCTAATTTTTGTTGTTCAAATAATTCTCTAACCAATTCAATATAATTATCTTGCCATTCTGGGAATGTATTAGAAACAAATAATGTTAATTTAGCTGGTTTAGTAACATCAACATCAGATGGTTTACCACCTTTCTTCTTTTTCAAAACATTAGCTTCTGCTTCACGAATAGATCTAGAAACATCTTTAACATATTGTAATGAATCAATAACTGATTTAGAAACTGGTTCTGATGCTCTTGGGAATTTTGCAGTTTGAATACTACCTTCATTACCTAAAACTTCTTTATAAATATATTCAGCAAAATGTGGAGCAACTGGTGCTAACATTAAGACTTGAGTTTCAATATATTTCAAAACTAAATCTTTATGCATACCAACAGTACCACTAACAGAATCACGATAATAATCTCTAGCAGTTTGGAAATCAAATAATCCAAATTTCAATGCTGCTTTATAATTACTTGAAGAATATTGTTGATAAGCTTCTTCAATTAAATTATTCATTTCATGTTCAAATGTAACATCAAAGAAATTATCTAATGGACCAGTTCTTAATTGATCTTGATTCTTAACTTCTTCTTCACACCATTCTTTCAAAGTAGTTAATCTCAAAATTGCTGCATTAGCATTTGATTCATCAAAGTTAGCATCTTCAACAGTATCACCAGCATCAGCCATGGCGATTCTAGAGGCATCAGCTCCGAATTTTTCCACAATTTGTTCCAAGGTCATGAAATTACCAGTAGATTTAGACATCTTGGCATTATTTAACATTAAATGACCATTGGCTCTAACCCCCTTTGGCCAGAATTTCTTTGGGAATAAAGCAACATGAGAATAAATAAAAAAAGTTAAATGATTTGGAATCAAATCTTTCCCGGAAATTCTAACATCTAAAGGATAGAAATATTCAAATTCTCTTCTCATTTCTTTTAATTGAGCCAATGGAATATCAGATTCAATATCATCACGACGAGCAAAAATGAAATCAAATACTTCATCGGTTAATTGTTCTGGTTTAATATCAAATTTACCTTTAACTTTCCCATAATAATCAGAATGAAGGAATCTATCAATAGTATAATATGCCATATAAATAGTAGAATCAGATAATGATTCAACTAAATATTGTTCATCCCATGGTAATTTTGTACCTAAACCGAATTTTCTAGTCACGGCCCAATTCTTCATCCAAGCTAAAACACCTTCAAATCCATGTCTAGTTTCTTTACAGAAAGTTTCCATATCTTTCAAACATTCCAAAGCTTGTCCTAACCATTCTTCTTCACCATAATCCAAATACCATTGATCTTCTAAAGCCACAATACATTCATCACCAGATCTAGAAACAACTTGTCCCTCGGGTTCATTATAAACAAATGCATCACCAGCAGCAATTAAATCTTCTTTAACTTTAGCTTTGGCAACTTCAACTTTTTCACCAGCATATTTACCAATAGTCATAGTACCATTATAAAAACCTTCCTTATAAGCTAATTCTTTAGCTAATGCTAATTGAATAGAATCTTTTGGTGATTGGATTTTTAAATCATTAACTAAAAATTCGGCACATTTGTCTCCATATTTCTCAGTATTAACAATAGAAACAATATCGGTCTTAACCCAACTTTTTTCAATTTGATAATATTCTGGTTTATTAGCTAAATCTCTAGTGGTGACATAATCATCAGGAGAATCAGATGGAACACAAGTAACAACACCAGTACCCTTGGTTGCCAAGACGGTTTCCATAGGTAAGACACGTAAATCTTTAAGAACGGCCAATGGGGCATCAATCTTAGATCCAATTAAATCTTTACCATTAATAACCACAACTGGTTTATAATAACCTCTTTGTGGGGTGATGTTTTGATATGACATGTTTTTGAAGGCACGTTGAGTAGTAATGAAATAGGCTCCATTACCAGCATCAAAAATACCATAATCAATCTTAGGGGAAACAAAACAACATGATTGTCCATACATAGTTTCTGGTCTTAAAGTGGCAGCAACTAAATAAACCTTCTTGTTTTCGAATTCGAACCCTTCCTTGGCGAAGGTTGCCTTAGCAGCTGGAGCAAAATCAGTAACTTCGATTTTAATCCCAGTATATTCTTGAGGTCCAATTCCTTCACCTGATTGTCTATCATGATCCAAACATGCTTGTCCATCTTTTTCGGAATAAATAGTATATCTTTCCCCGAATTTGATCTTCCCACATTCTCTCAATCTATTGATTTGCCATCTGACAAAAGCATCATAATAAGGATTAGCATCAGTAGTTACCATACTACGTCTCCAATCAACTCTAGCACCAAATGAAGTAACATCTTTTTGACATAATGGTGGGAAGAATTCTAACCAATGTTCAGTATTGGCAAATTTAGGTACATCTTCTCTTGGGATCCCTAATTGTAACATGATTTCAAATTGAAATTTCCCTCTACCTTGTTTTGCAACCGCTTTTGATTTCTTACTAGTGAATTTTGTAACATCTTCATGTTTACTCTCAGCTTTTGGAGTTGGGACTGGATCTTCATCATCTTCATCTTCAGCAGGAGCACCACTGAAATCTTCACCAAATAATTCAATCTCTCTTTTAATCTTATCAGCAGCAGCTTTGATTGGCATACCAGTACAATGGAATCCAAGGGGGAATAATGCTCTTTTTCCATTCATTCTTTCAAACCCAGTAGCGAATTCGACTTTGGATAATGTGAATGCATGTCCGGCGTGCAAGACACCGTTCATGTATGGATACGCCATCGTACCGAAATGCTTTGGATATTGTTTTTGTAATTCATCAATATCTTCAATTGGGACTTCTTCAATGGTTGGTGCATTGACTTCGAAATATTTTTCATCAGCCCAAATTTTTTGATATTTCTTTTCGATGGAGATTAATGTATCTCTACGAACGGTGTTCTCTAACTTGATTGGACCACTCATTTGATTTGATATATTTATATCTTGGTCTAGCAAGAGAAAGAGTGGAGAGAGACAGGAATGGTTTTATATAATAAACAAAAAGAGTGAAAATTTTTTTTGACAGCCAATTTGGTCGTGTATGAGTCACAAAATGGAAAACCAGCAATATGCCTAAGATAATTATGATACACTTGAGTCGACATCTTTTATTGCTATTCGCATGGACGATTAATAGGTGGGTTGGAACTACTACATACTGACTCCTAGTAGCTCCCGACGAGTTAAGATAGGCCCATTTCAATTGAATCTGTGCAAAAGATTCACTCAATACAATAATTTCTGGAGACATGGTAGCCCCGCCGGCATCGGCTGCAAATCCAAAACACAATTAAATTTTTCTCCTGTTCCGGCTCCAACAACATTTTTGCAACAAAATGGAAGCTTTTTCCCCAGAGAAATGAAAAATGGGTGTATGCTGGCACCGTGGTTGTGAGAGATTGTTCTTTAAAGATGCATTAAGAGAATGTTGATAGGGCGGGAAGAGCAAACAGAATAATAGAATACGATATCTATAACTTATCTATATTTAAAGAACTTCTAACGACGACGTCTTTTGATTAAATTGGGTGGCACCATCAGCAACTTATTAGGAGCCTTGGTAGAATTTCCTTCAATAACACTTGTTGACTTAAGACACTCCAGTTTCAGTTGAATTTGCGCAAATGAATCACCTAATTTAATAGCTGGTTGAGACATGGTAGCCCGACCAGCATCAGCTGCAAATTGGAATTCAACCAATATTTTCTCTTGGTCTGGCATCAATAAGACTTTCTCAACTGGACCAAACTTTTGTGTAAAATATTCACGAATGTCATTCTGATTTAATGTTGTATCTACTCGTGATAATCCTATTGTTTTCAAATCATCAAAACCACGAGGGGTGAGCGTGTGGTGTTTCGCATGTTGTTTTTGGACATTTATTTTCCTACCCTGTATTTCAGTTTCGTGTAACTTAACCGCTTTGTCAAGATTTTGTTCTGACTCAAACACGATAATAGCAATCCCATCATTTTTATTATTCTTCAGTTTGCCTAGTCTAGGAAATGTCACTTGATCTATCTTGCCACAATCGCCAAATATTTCCCGAATCTCATCCTCTCCAAGATTAAATGGAAGATTCGAAACTCGAATTTTCCTTTCCGAAATCGGGGTTGATCTTTTCTTTTTCTCTTGGGGTCTCGAAACTACCACTTCTAATGGAATTGCCTTTTTCAAATTTTCATCATATAATTCTTTTCCATTGTATGTGAATATGGCCTTCTTGGCATCTTCAGAAGTGACATATTGGACATAACAGAATCTCTTTATCCGATGCCCCGCATGCTGATTAGGAAATCTGACACCAACTATAGGACCTATCTTCTCAAACATTTCTCGAACTTGTGCTTGACTGTACGTACTTGGGTAGTTATTAACAAACAAGGTGGCGTTTTCAAACTTGGTTACCACAATTTGGGAATCCCCTAACTGTTTGTATGTTTTCGTTAGCGCTGATAATACTTCTTGTTGACCGGAAAATTCAATGAGTCCTTCATATTGACCATTCTCGGAGTGAATTGAAATGTCACGTATATCTCCACATTCTTCAAACATGACGCGCAAATCATCAACTGTAGTATTCTGATTAATATTGGATATTTTGACTGTGAACTCTTCTCTAGATCTATGTTGCTGGTCGCTTTCAACTACATCATCGTGCATTCTCTTTGCTTGCGAGTTATTAGCTGCGGTTGGAATAGGCGAGGCTTCGGGTTCAATCTCCATTTTATCTTGTTCGGTTTCAAGATATTTCTGTTCCTTTCTCTCAGATAGATAACACTTCCAAACCACTTTCCTATTCTTCTCAATATCTCCAGCAATCTCATGGAATGAAATCCACTTATGTCTTATTTCTTGAAGTTTATTATCTGGATCATGACCATCAAGAGCATCCACTGCTTCTTCAAACATGTTTTTTAATCCTTCTGGGGGGAGCTTACTCTTCATATAGTCAATAGCCAAAAGCCATGCATTTCCATAGGACAGATATTGAGTAGTCAAGTTTTCAATCAAATCTATTGCCTTATCTTCCTCTTTCATTTCGTCATAGATTGAAAGTGCCAATCTAGGTATGCGATATTTACCATCATTTGGCCTGTTGTATGATTCCGAGAGATACTTTGAAATTTCTTCGTAAAGTTCCTCTGCGGACTCCTGCAGACGTTCATATAGGTGGTATCTATACTTCATTAATATAATAGCTTCACCAACTATTAGATATGGATCATTTGATGGGTCCAAAACTTTATTGCTTTCTATTCTTTTCATTAGGTCATCATATTCTTCATCTTCCCACCAAGTACGAGTTAAATATTCAGCATATGCATCAGGATGGTAAGGATATCTCCTAATGTAGCTTGCCAGAATATACTCAGCCAAGGCGTCTTTTATCAAGGATCGGACCATTCGGGTGGCACATTTCCATAGAGGAAGCCATTCATCCGAATCATACATCTCAACAGCTCTAACAAATATACTGACGACAGTTTCAAAATTATCATCATCATACTGGAAAAGATTCTCCATATATTCGAGCCACATGGAGACGTTGTTAGGATTCTTTTTAAGTGGTATTTCAAATTTTTCATAATATGCTTGAAGACGCTTCGTCTTGTGGTAAAGTTCACTTCTTGATGGAACCCATAGATCATATTGTTGTGGAGCATATTTACTACAAAGGGAGCAAAATTTATTAAATGTTTCATCTATTTGGTGATGTGGGACCTTGAGTCTGTCGTCGAATAAAGTATGTAAATCACGCCAATTGGGGTTATTCAGCTCTAGATTCTCTACCATGATGTCAAATACTTCATTACTGTGATAGTAATCAAATTGACAATCTTCCCAAGCTTCCGTTAGATACAGCCCGTAATTTTCCGACCCTTTAATTAATCTCAAATATTTAGCCCAATTCTCGCCCGTGGGAAAGTGGTTTGCAATCATCCCGGAAATCATAAGTGCATCCTCGGAGAGTGAGTCAATTGAATTTGTATATTGGAAGAAGTCATCAATATCACTTTTGGTGAAAGTGAAGTATTCACCTTTGAGGTAGTAAATTTTCTCTCTTCCCGAATGGTTTGGGGGAAGAAGTTTTACTAATTGACTTGCTTCTTTGTGAACAGCTGCATTATAAGGATCCGCTAAGATCTTTTCTTCGAGATCCTTAAGTTTGATTTCTATTGCATCTTCATCGGACATGCTTGATTAAGTGATTACCAGATAGAAATTCCTGTGATGGCATCTTGTTGTTTTGATTCTCCAGAGAACCCAAGTATTTTTTCCCGTTCTGTCGAAGGTGGTAGCGCCAATTCAGATACTAAGATCTTTACGCGATAGAATGAAGGTTCTCTGTTCGCTGAATAGATACAAGGGTAACACTACAATGTCATATATTAAACTAAACTAATAAACAAATCTAACAACGTTCATGTGGAAGGAATATTTTCTTGTTTGATGCACAACAAACTATGGAACACCACTATCCCGTTCCGAATGAACGTGGTATCTACATGTAATCTATCCGTTGAGAAGCAACATGCTATTAGAAGGTCTGGCGAAATCCATTTCAGTGAAGGCCCAAGTTTCTTTCTTCCTTTTTCTCAGACTGGTAACACTTCCAAAGTGCATGCTTTTTGGCCTTCAAGTTTTTTGCTTTCAATTCCAGGAATTCCTCAAATTGAAGCCATTGATACCTAAGTTCTTCAAGCTTGTTATCTGGGTCACATCCTTCAAGCGAATCTATCGCTTCTTCGTACATAGTTCTGATCCCCTCTGAAGGAAGTTTATTCTTCATATAATCAATGGCCCAGAGCCAGACGTCTCCACGAGACAGATACGTAGAAGTTAATCTGTCGATTATTTCTCCTGCTTTATCTTCTTCATCAAACTCATCGTAGATCTTAATAGCGAGCTTAGGGATTCGGTATTTACCATCATTCGGTCTAGTGAAAGACTCGGTAACATACTCCTCAATGGTTTTGAATAAAGCTGGTGTTTCTTCGAACCATTCACTAAATACACTACGAGTTAATCCATACCTAAATACGACGATTGCTTCGGCGACTGTTAGATTTGGATCTTTGCCTTTGCTAAGGACTCCATTGCTTTGTACCCTCAGGTAGATCATATCAAAATCGCTTTCCTCGGCTTCGGCTAAGTATTCGACATATGCAGCAGGATAATATGGGAACGTTCTAACGTAAGAACTCAAATGATCTAATTTAAATTCTTCAGTCACGTTGGCTATACGAGCCATCCGAATAAGACTTTTCCAGAGAGGAAGTGCCCATTCATCTGGAAAGTCTTGCACAATCGCTCTAGTAAATATGCTGTATACACCATCCATATGTTTGTCACGTTCATATATACCCTCCATATAATCTAGCCAAACGAAGACGTCACTTGGATTCTTCTTGATGGCTTTTTCAAACCTTTCGTTAAGACGTTGGTCCTCTTTTGTTTCATCGTGAACCCTACTTCTTGAATCTGCCCATGGCCAATACTCACTTTGCTTATACTTCGTAACGAAATACTTAAATTCATTCAATGTTTCATCTATTTGGACGTGCGGAATCCGTAATCTTTGATCGAATAAATCAAGAATATCGGGCCATTCTTCATAATACTTATCCTTATATTCAACCATAATGTCGAATATCTCATTACCGCAACAATAGTCGTATCTACAAGCATCCCATGCTCTTTCAAGATAGGCAGAGTAGTATGGCGAATTCCTCATCGCTTTTAAGTATTCCTTCCAATATTTTACTGTAGGATATTGATTAGTGATCTGATCAAAAACTTTACGTCCGTCATCGGAAAGCTTCCCAACAGTGTTGACATACTTTATGAAATCATCGGCGTCACTTTTAGTGGGTACAAAGTATTGACCTTTAAGGAAATAGATTTTGTCTCTTAATGAATGATTTTGGGGAAGAAGTTTAACTAATTTACAAGCATTCTCATGAGTAGCAAATTTGTAAGGCTCCTTCGCGATCTTCTTTTGAAGATCTTTGAGTCTCGTTTCTAGCGTTCTGACACTAACCATGATTGATTTAGCGTTCTGCAAAGGACCAATTGACACTACTTCTTTGTTCGGTTGTCTTCTTGAGAATTGAAAATGGTGAAAATTGAAAAATTCTCAAGATAACCCAACAATCTTTTTTTTTTTCCAGTCTTACTCCAGTATTATAGTTAAGAGAGGAATGTGCGAGAACGAGATGGAATTGAATTTTTTTTAACCGAATTTAAAATTTCTTTTCATTTCTAGGCACAAAAGTACACTAACGACAGCTGATCACCCCAAGAATGAATGCTAGTGTCTATTTACAATCCTTTGGATGGAAAGAAGGAGAAGCCTTACAGAAAGGAGGTCTTACTAAACCTATTTTGGTTAAGCACAAAAAAGATACTAAGGGGCTAGGTCATGATACTAATGCTGTGGATACATGGTGGGAAAAATTATTTGATGGTCAGTTGAAGAATTTGGAAGTTAATAACAATTCAAACGGAAGTGTATCATTTGCAAAGAATGAAGAGAAAACAATGGATACTATGAGAAGATCGATGTCTCCGTTATATAAAATGTTTGTAAAGGGTGAAGGATTAGAAGGAACTGTTGGGAAGACAGACCATGTCAAAGCGGAACACATAGAAATATCTTCAAGTATGGCAATGGAACAGATGGAAATGTTAATTAAAAAGGAAACTGGACAAGACTTAAATGGGACTGGTAAACCTGATAAAGATAAGAAGAGGAAGGATAAATCATCTAAGATAGAGAAGAAAGAAAAGAAGGATAAGAAAGAGAAAAAGGAAAAGAAGCTGAAAGATCTAAAAGATAAGAAGAAGTCGAAGGATAGAGACGCGAAGAAAGAGAAGAGGGAAAAGAAGGACGACAAGAAGAAGAGTAAGAAGGAAGATACAAAGGGCATAGAATCAACAAAGAAAGATAAGAAATCAAGTACAGATAAGAAACGAAAGAGAGACAACAAAGAAGACATCACTTCAAAGAAACGTAAGGTGATATAGAAAGGGGTTTATTATAATTTATATAGTATTTTAGAATACTTTTGTATATTAATAGAGTAATTTGGAAATTTTTGCAATCTGGTTCTAAAAGTCAACTTAATTTTGTTCTCTCGTAATGCGCACCGGTTCCCATCACACGAATTGACAACCATTTGATCTTTAACGAAATGAATACACTAGAAACAACAACAACAACAGACACAGATAGCAAATGGAAACGCTTCTGGTTGTTTTCATAGTGCTGGCGGTACGATATGTGATACTGATTTATATCGTCTGGTGTGCTTTGATCTATGTTCTAAAAAATCGATATCCAATAATATTTGGAGTTTTTACAACGGTATTAGGAGTTGTAATCCTAACAATAATATTCAAACCCAAGAAGCCAAAACCAAGAAGAATCAACCAATCGCGATTCAAGTTCACATATCCATCGGAATGGGAATCACAATTACAATTGTTGAAGTCAGATGAAGCCCAATTGAATCTGCCCATTTTTAGTGAATCATTCTTGATATCAGAAACATTCGAAGAATTGATTAATTTAATTATAGGAGAATTCATTAACAAATGGTATTCAGAAATCACATCATCACCATTAGTCACCGATTCTATAAAGATTGAACTCAAATATGTTATACGGAATTTAAAAGATAGACTACAAAGTATCGATTTCGCCAAAGTTATGGTTACTAGTATTCTTCCCATTGTACAAGATCATTTCCAATCATATCTCCATGCTGAAGAACTCGTAAAATCAAAATCATATTCACCCAAACAAGATTCTTCAGAATTTCATACGGCAGTTGCCAATGCGTATAAACGTGGGAAATTACATCGAGCCGTAACCATTTCCAATAATATTCAAGCAAACATTAACGAAAAGAAATATCTCCGAAATAAAGTAAATTCATTCTTACCATATTTGTTATCTGAGAATGAGAAGGATAATGAAATTGGAGTCACCTTAGTCACTGAGATTTTGGCTTGTACTGTTCTTTGTAATGTTATTAATTTAGTAACTGAAAGTGATTTTTATAACTTGATGATTGTGAAATTGATAGGTGACAACTTAAGAAGACGAGATCAAGTTAAGAAATTAAGAGCTGCATTAGAAGAGCACACACAGGGAGGAAATAAACGTCGTCAATTGCAAAGAAATCAACTTGACTCATCGGGAGCGGAAGATGTTGTGCAAATATTACTGGATTCAATAGATGCAAGTGATGACTTGGAAAGTTTATTAGTGCTTGAAGATTCTATTCTTCAGATAGATGATCCAATAGCTAGAATCCAATTAAAACGAAAATTAAATCAAAAGAAAGAATTATTCTCCAATAAGCAATCCACTATGAAATTGATTGAAATCCTCAACAATCCAGCTTCATTAAAGGTTTTTAAAACATGTATGATCGATAGTGGTAGAAGTAAAATTCTTGATTTTTGGTTAGCTGTGGAAGCCATAAAGGCGCCATTGGAGCAGAATGACATTCAAGAGGAAAATAATTTATCACTTTCTTTGGAATATACTAGCTTTGATGATATCAAGAGAATTACCGATATGTACATATTGCCCGGTTATATCACATTAGATGAATCAAACAAGAAAACACTTCTAGAACTAACTAACCTGCCACCTGGTGAATCTAGAATCAAATTATATCAAAAGGCGAGAGGGTTGCTATTCAGACGTCAACATGAAGTATTCGAAGACATGGAGAGTCGCGATTTTGAATTATTTAAGAGCTCTGATTTATATATGAAACAATTACAAGCCAACAAACAAGAACCAGATGTCAACCCCGAGATTATATATGCTGTTGAGAATGCATTTTCAGAAATTATGAATACTTCCAATTCCACAACTGAGCCCACTCAATCACGAACCACGCTTAATGAGAGTTCGAGTATTGATGATCTTTTGACTATGAGAAAAGATTCCTCGACAATATTTGGCCATGATGATGATAGTTCAGGAAATCGGAATTCTCGTTTATTTGATAGTGATGATTCCGATATTGATGATGATACAAGTGATTCCATAAGTTATGGCGAACTGCTGGAAATGAATAAATTTGGTGGAGATGATCTGGAGGTTCAATTAGCGGGACCGGGAAATCTTAATCTAGCTGAAGAGATACCTAAATTAACAGAGGAAGTTGAGAATCTTCATGAACAATTAGCCGTGTTGGAACCACTTATTAGAAAAGCGGAATTGAGTAATAATATATCCCAATTGAAAGTTTTAAGGAAATCTAAAATCGCCTTAGTTCGAGAAGTTAATTTTAAAGAATTGCAAAAGCAACAATATATCGTTCAAGAAAATGATAATAGTTTATATGGGAAATCTCGAGTTTGTATTCAATCATACATCAGTGGAAATGAGAATGGTAAAGAATTTATTCTTTATATTATTGAAGTTCAGAAATTTTCTAATGATGATCCAAATATTACAACTGCAGGTTGGGTGGTTGCAAGACGATATAGTCAATTTTATAGATTACATCAATATCTCAAATGGAAATATCCTACTGGGGTTGCAAATTTGAAGTTCCCAAAGAGATCTATGCTGGTTTTGAAATTTCAACAAAGACAAGTGGTTGAAATTCGTCAAAATGCTTTAGAAGAGTATTTGCAACAACTCATAAGAATACCTGAAGTATGTTCAGATAAAGCATTTAGATCATTTTTATCTTCAGAAAACTTTAATTTGAGAAAGAATCAACCGTTTGGAGATGCTATTAAACAAACGAAGGAAAATGCGGAAATGTTAGCTAATAAATGGTACAAAGGGATTTCAAACATGTTCTTAACTGTTTCTCCAAAAGAGTCCGGATCCTGCCGAGTCAATGATAATCCTATAACCGATTCACAAATAATGGAGAATATCAAGGATATGGAACGAGAATTGAAACAATTTGATGAAAGTTCAATGACAAAGACAACCATGTTTGTAAAACCGATTTGTGATTTATTAATTACTGTATTCAGATTACATAATTCTAGAAGTTGGCTAAGAGGAAGAGCATTAGTTGTTATATTACAACAATTGTTTGGAACGACTATTGAAAAGAAAGTATATGAACAAGTTGAGATTCAATTGAAAACAGAAGAGAATATTTTAGATTTATTTATAACGTTGAAGAATATTTTATTTCCCAATGGGAAATTCAAGGATCCTCCGGCTTTAAGAACACTCTATCAACAATCTAATACAAGGCAGGAAGCTAGGATATTATTTGAAGCATTTATGGATGAAACTTGTTCAAAGATTTTTGGAACTTCAAATACCAAATTTGCATCAAATAGATTATTTAGAATGATTCAGAATGATTATCTTAATCGACATTTGATATTTGAAATATTAGATGAATTATTGGGTGAGATCTTTCCCGAGATAAGTTAATAGTGTTCTTATATTCTTTTAATACCATGTCATTGTATTTCAAACTCTCTATCTGATAAATCCATTTTGTAAAAAAATTTGCAATCATTTAATTAAAAATTTTGTGGCTGTGGGGCTGTAAATTAAGAGGAGACTTTTTTTTCTTGTTTCAGTTGTAAACTATCAACCCCTAATTCACCCTGCGTGTGTCCTTTTCGATTCTTAAATACACTTGATCTCTTGAATTGATGATATCTTTTTTTAGGGTTAATGTAATAGCACACTCCATAGATTGTGATTATACCAGCAAAACACATCCTTAACGTTGGCTGCTAATTATTTAATCGCTTGTCAAATTTCCGTTGTTAAATTCGTAAAATAAAAAAAATAAAATTAATAAAATAATAATTTTTTAATTATAGAATTTTTCTTTTTTTGTGTCGATTGCCGATTTCGATTTATTCTTTCTCAAATTTTTATCAACACTTGATTTTTTAATTAATTGTTAGTTAATTCTCCTTTCATTAAACACAATGTCAGTTTCAAAGTCAGATCCAAACAATCCGCCTAAAGTTCCAAAAGGATGGTTAGCTAAATTCGACGACACTTACAAAACATGGTATTACGTTAATCTCGACACCAAAAAATCCCAATGGGAGGCACCAGAAGGCACCACCTGGGGAGAAGAATCAAGTCCAGAAGATATCCCACCTCCAGCATACAGTCCATCCCAATCCTCCTCCATCGATCGTAAACAACCAGAAATCCCACGCCCACAAGCCCAACAAAGTAGCAGTTACCAAAGAACTCCGCCTTCTGCGCCTGCTGCTGCGGGTGGCAATGGAAGATCATATCAACCACAACCAGCACCTCAACCAGGATATGGAGGTGGATACCCTCCACAAGCGGGATACCCTCCACATCCAGCATATGGAGGATACCCACCACAACCAGGATATGGTTACCCTCCACAACCGGGATACGGATATCCACCACAACCGGGATATGGATATCCTCCACAACAACAACAGGTGCAACAAGGTAGAAATAGTAAAATGAGTGGGGCTGGAGGTATGGCTCTTGGTGTAGGTGGTGGTTTATTAGGTGGTATGCTTTTAGGTTCAGCTTTGAATAGTTATGGAGAACATGAACAAATGGAAGGATATCAAGATGGATACCAAGATGGGTATGCCGATGGTGGTGATTTTGGTGGAGGTGATTTCGGGGGAGGTGATTTTGGAGGTGATTTCTAAGAGTGATAATGGATTGGTTTGACTTTTTAGAGATTGTTTATAGTGTATAGATGTTTATTTAGATGAAGTGTATAGAATACAGTGTAGATTCATGGTATGATCACGTGATGCTGGTGATTAACTTCCAATTTTTTTTTTCTAACCAACCAAACATTGAGAATTTGTAAAAATTGCGCTTCAAAAGAATTTTTCAAGCATTCAGAGTGAAGGACTTACAAAACACACAGGGCTAAGACACTAAGAAATAATGAGAGTTACAAGAGTATTGAGACAATCTAAGGAACTTTTAGTCAGAGCCACCTCCGGATATCCAACTGGTTTAACTGGTTTATACCAACATCCAAACCCAAGACCAGTTTTAATTGAATTATATAACCAAACATTAGACTTTGTCGGAAAGAACTTCCCAAAAGAATCAGTATATAGACAATCGGTGGAAGCTTTGACTAAGAACCGATTAAAGGCTGTTGAAGAAAATGAAATTACTGAAAAGATAGAAAATGAAATTGGTAGTGGTTTGATTGAAGAAGTTGTTATTCAAGCTCATGATGAACTTGTTTTGGCTCGTGAATTATCAGGATTGAAATGTTGGGAAGAATTGGAAGAAAAACCATTGGATGACCAATGGGTTTACTTTGGTAAGAAGATTTAAAGTTGGACAAATCTTTTTGTTTTAGTTCATTGCATTTGTTATTTGCATGATATTGTGTGAATATTGTATATTTCATTTATTTATAACGTTTAATATAAAGAAACGAACAAGGAAAATATCGAAGCTTGTCTAATAGCTGACGCAAGTGGATTATTACCAATAGAGTATCAAAACTATTGTAGTATATTATTGAAGAGTGAGTGTTATATAATATATATCACAAATACCTAACTATCTACTCTCAATCTCTCAGCCTCTCTCTCTCTTCCAACCAGTCTTCTTTAATAGAGAAATAAAACGGTGTATGTCAAAATAGTAAAAAAAAGGAAAACCATTTAGCTTGTATTAAGGTGGAGTATACTGTTGATCTTGATATGAGCTGGTCAATTTTTGCTTTAACAACAATTATTTTTGAAACCCATACCATTATTGCTATTCTTAGAAACATCTATTCCACCGGAAGTATTACCTTGAGGAATAACATCATCTACATGTTTTTCTTGAATGATACCTGCTAATTCATAAAAGATAGAATCAACATTTTCATTAGTTTTCGCACTTGATTCTAAAAATGGTACACCCAATTCAGCAGCTAATTCTTGACCTTGTTCTTTACTAACTTGTCTATTGACTTCATCATCACATTTATTACCAACCAAGAATATTTGAGCATCTTCATTAGCATGTTGAGTTACTGTTTGAAACCAATTTTTAACATTATCAAAGGTTCTAGAATCAGTGACATCATATATTAAAACAATACCCATTGCTCCTCTGTAATAAGCAGTAGTAATTGTTCTAAATCTTTCCTGTCCTGCAGTATCCCAAACTTGTAATTTGATTTTCTTACCTTTACTTTCAATTGTTCTAATTTTAAAATCAATACCAATTGTTGTAATAAATGATGGATTAAATTTATCTTCTACAAATCTTAATAATAAACAAGATTTACCAACACCTGAATCTCCAACTAATAACAACTTCATAATCATATCATATGCTCTGGATGGAGCTCCTCCTCTTGTACTCATGATTGTTTCTATTCTATCTGTTTGTTTAGTTATGGTGATGATAGAGATAATTACGTGCGTGTTTCTTTTAATATAAGAATTTAATTTCGTTTACCTTTTTTCCGTGAAACTTGATTATTTCATTGTCTTTGCTGTGCCTTAGTAAAGTAGACACAAAATCTCTCCAAAAATTAAACGTGTAAAAATTTATGAATTTAATATGAATTGGTAAGATAGTTTAGCTTAAACTGATAGAATGATTTCATATTCAGTTTCGTGTCAAATTGATAGACTTTCGTCCTTGAGAGAATAATAGAGCAGGGTTATAGCAATTGGCCATAGGCTCGTGCAGTGCGTCATTGCAAATGGTAGTGTACTTTGAACCATATATCAAACCACGACAACCACAATAGACAATAAGCCTACACTTCAAATAGAATGAGATCGCCTCTCGGATTGTCAGGGTTACTGTATATATATACTTGTATTCGATTGTATTAAAACTATCTATTAATTTTTAACTTTTCTAAACTTAGAAATATTCAGCATTGATTTCTACGGAAGATGCGGCATATGGAATATCAAATGCAGTCATAACTTCGGGATGTAAAACACCAATATCACCAATGTGAATGTCTTCGCCATTTTCTTGAGATCTGAAAAAGACTTTAGCACCTCTACCTGGGAAGAAAGTTGGATTTTCCTTATCTTCTTCAATCCAATAACCTCTACCTTTTTGTTCTCTTGGGTTCTCTAACCAAGAAGTTCTCATAGTTTGCATAATCTTACCTAATAAACCTTGAACAAATTCAAAACCAGAGGTCTTACCGGCATAAACAGCACACCAGTTACGTTGATTATAAGCTTGTCTTTCTAAATATTGGTTCTTTAAAACAATATCACCAGTTTCAAAAACTTTGATTGGTAATGAGTGTTTTCTGTTTTCTTTAATAGTCTTTAAAATACCTGGTACTAAAGTGGTTCTAACAACTTGATATTCAATAGTCTTTGGGTTTTCTAACTTAACAGCAGTATTTCCTAAATCTTTTTGTCTCAAAAACTTGAAGTTTTCATCATGTGAACATAAAGTCAATGGTAAAACTTCAGAATAACCAGCCTGAGCAGATGCTAAACGTAAAATATCAGAAACTTTATTAATTGGTAATGGAGCAGCTACTAAATTATCACTTTGTGGTTTAGTCTTTTTTAAGTTATTATAACCATAACCAATTGCAGCATCTTCCATAATATCACATTCATGTAAAACATCAGATCTTGTTATTGGGATACTGACTTCAATGACACCTTCATCAGTCTTGGAAGTAGTCGCATCCAAAGCCATTCTCTTCAATAATTTGGCAATTTGTTCACCAGAATAATCTAATCCGACACACGAGTTTATGTAAGAAATATTGGCTTTAGCAATTCTTGGTACAATGTTTGGAGTTATACGAGTTTCACCATTATGTTCAGAAATAATATCAAGTGGTTCAATTTCAAATGGAGTTTTACAATAACGGGAAAACATGGCAACAATTTGATTGATAACAATTTCAGTCTTGGTCTTATCAGTACCAGTGACATCAATCCAAACATTCTTGGTGTTTAAAGTAATCTTAGAATGATCGGAATTAATAATTGGTGGCATGGAGGCAACAGTTCTATTAGCATCAAGCATGACTGGATATACTGGAGAATCTCTAATAATATGTAAATATTTACCAAGATTCTTATCTTTTTCATAAAATTCCATTAATTCATGACCATTCATTTCCTTATCTTGATTTAAAGGTTTGAATTTAATATCTTCTGGTTTTAAACCTTCATAAGTAAATGGACCTTGTAAAGTATCCAAATCGTGAGTACCAATGGCAACTAAGGTTCTATTACGACATAAATTGGTATGTAATTTATCTTGGAAAGCAATGAATGAATCATAAGTTCTTTGATCAAAGGTAACATTTCTTAAAATGGCAGATGCAGCATATTGACGAACTGGGAAAGTTGATTCCTTGATGGTCAATGAGGTAGCTGGCTTAACTGGATTTAAGGTATATTGTGGTGCGTCTGAATTACCCAAGAATTCATTCAAGGCTTGTGCAATACCTTCAATACATAACATATCATATCTGTTAGCTGGAACTTCAATCTTTAAGTGAGGTCTTTCATCACCTTGACATTCATCAGTGTTGTCTTCATCAAGTTCAATACCGAAATCGAAACATAACTCGTCGAATTCTTCAGTGGTGTATGATCTTCCTAATAATTTGTAGAGATCTTCTTTATCACAAGAAACAGTTGGCATTGTTGGTAGGCGTTGTTATCTATTGATTGATGAAATCAAGCTGGTTGTAAACTTTTTGAGTCACAGTGAAAAAATTGAAAAAAAAAAAATCTTTACAACCACCGGTATACGATTTACACGATTTAGAAAATATTAAGTATATTACAGTACTAACCATCACAATATCCCACAACATACACATAAACTACTCCTTCTTGTTTGCCTTTGAATCCTCTTCTAAGTCTTCATTAAGTTTAAGCTCTCTACGCTTAGAATCAACTTCCTTTCGTATTTGTTCCATGTCATTGGTGTTTCCACTATCTGCTAAATTCTCTATTTCTTTTACTTCTTGAGCCAAAGCCTCTACATCAAACATGGCATCCGGAACCACATATTCTTCAGACCCTCTAACTGGACTCCCTTCCCTACTGCTACTAGCAGCACGCTGTTCAGGCTTTCCATAAATCTCCCACCATTCTTTATTCTTTGGTTTGAACCATTTCTTCCAGCCTTTAGGCTCAACATTTTGACGTTTTTCTTTCTCCATCTTCGCTCTAGCTTCATCGAATTCATGAATTAATTGACGCTGTCTTTCCGTTTGTTCTGGATCAGCTTCTTCGATTTCCGCGAATTCTTCACTCAACACTTCCCAATTACATCTTTTCAAAATACGGGGGATTTCTTTTCTGTATGACATGTGACCTTCTACCAAATCTGTACAATCAATATTTTCAACGCCATGAACCCTTTTCAATGGGGATAATCCTGCAACTTTCAGTATCCCACCACCTGTAGCACGGAAAAGATATCCCAAAATCCAATCTTTCTTGGAATATCCATTTATAAATCTCCCACTAACAACTGATCTAGCTTGTGCCAATTGATCTACCTTAATCGAGATTGGTGAACCTAATAAAATAACATTTTCAATTAATCCATATCCACCTCTTCTTTCTAATTCAATTAAACATGAATAAATTAATCTTGCCCCTAATGAAAATCCGACTAACGTAATTGGTCTAACTCCGACATTTCCATTAATAAGTGTTTCAGCAAGGATTTTCCCAGCCTTCCATGCCCTATCTAAGGAGACATTCCAAGGATTATCAATCAAATAGGTTAATTTGGAAAGTACCATAGGAATTTGAATGGCCGACATTAATGCAGTTAACACAGTCGCACCCAAGATTTGTTGAATAGAAGTACTCAAAGCTTCACTTGCCAAAATACCAATCGTTTGACCCATAGATTGCAACATTTCTGGCTCCCACAATAAAGAAAATAAATCTCCCATTACTGGATCAACCGTGGAAAATGGAAGTCTAACATCATCCGCTTGACCATTCATCCATCCACTGACTGTAATCAACAAATTGGCTCTTTTATTATCATGCAATGGTTTTAATTCAAATGTATGAACATCACCAGCACGTCTTGCGCCTGCTTGTGATCCGAATTTGGCGCCAAATGCAATACCAGTGGTTGTGATAATGGTTCCTCCACCAACTCCTGCCAAGAACCCACTTGTACCTGTTATACCTACCGTTGTTAAACCGGCAGCAAGACCGGCTCCAATCACTGGTGCTAAAAGACCTGCTGATAGACCCAAGATTAATGAACCACCTATTGTTGCTAAACCTATATAGGCTAATCTCTTTTTTCTATTTTTCTGAATTTGTTTTTGAACAACCAGTTGATCGTTTAATAGTTCATCATTGTTTTCAATTGTCTTTTGTTTAGTTTCCATTTCCAAACATTCAATTAATCGTCTTTCAAATTGACGGATTTCTATGGGTGTAATATTTATAGTTTTGGCAAATTTCATTAATAGGGTCCTTGAACGAGCATCGTAATATCCGTCACTTAGTAGTACCAAGAATAAATCACATATTATAACCCATCTTAAATCGAAATCTTCATCTAGACATTGTTGGTTGGCTTCAACGTTTGCTTTCATCCCGACTTCTATCAAACTTCTAGATAAGTCGTTGACTTCCAATCCATGTTTACTTAAATTCTCAATCATTGTCATTTCTGGACCAGCAACTTTCAAATGATCATATAATTTTGACATAACATACATTGTCCAATTAGAAAAATTCTTTTGCCCTACACTGAGTGATTTTGCTAATGTAGACGATGTTCCAAATTGAATCTTGGCCAATTCTGTAGCCATATCTACTGTCAATAATTTTGCTATACCGATATAGGCAAATTTTTGAGATTCAGTCAACATACTTCGTATTTCTTCCAATGTTTCACCGGAATCCATATTATCATCATCGTCATATTCGGAATCAGATTCCTCTACTTCATATTCAAGATCTACCTTTTCATATTTTGCCGGTTCGGAATGTTTTCGTTTCCCACGAGATCGAAATAAGAAATCTGTCTTTGCATCCAATGCTGCATATTTTGAAACTTGTTCTTCAGTATCTATTTTGGTATATCCAAAGTTATTCATGACATTTTCAAAGAAATCTTTCCCCGATTTTGAAGTGATTTCCAATTGTCCCTTTTCATTATAATAATCAAGGTCAGAAATTGTTTTCATATCTTTCCAATTTGTACTTGAATTAAAGAAATCTTCCTCTTCAACTTCTGGAATCAATTTGATTTCTTTGTTATTTAAATCTATCTTGTGAGATTCATTCTCTTCCTCGATTTTGCTTCGAGTTTCAATTGAGTTCCGTTTTGATGATGATACAACTCTTACTTGTGTCATTGACGACCGAGATGGGGCTGAAGATGATATGGGAGATAAATTAAATTCAACATAAGAATCGTTTCCTTCTCCATTTTGTTCTGTTTCTATATTAAATTCTTCTTGTAATTCAGGAGTAGGAACTGTTGGTGTATGCGGTAGATTCGGTAGATGAATGGCCAAAGTTCTGTTATTATATTTATGTCCATCAAATAAATGTCGTCTAAACAGGTCACTAGAACAAGTAAATTCTTCACTATAGAAAGGAGTTGAACCCCTTGTCGAATTCTGCAGTGATTCTGTGTCTCTTGACGAACTCATTGTATGCTTTAAGGTTTAAAAGAGACAATAAAATATACATACAAGTAACCTGTCAGGGGAACTTTAAAAAAAATTGATAAACGAGAAGTCATAACAAGTGTGGCAGCAGAAAAAAAAAGAATCAACCGTTTTCTATCGCGGCTTGTCATCACGAGACCTGAAAGAAACGTGTTTAAACGGACATCAAAAAACCATTGGGGACAGTCGAGTCCCCAATAAGTAGGAACATCCTATAAGGGTTATAAAAATTCAAAGGAAATTACATAAGAATTGAACATTGGGATGTTTGCAACATGGTTTTACTCAAATCGTTAATGGCCAATATGACCTACGCAGAGTCCAGGAATATGTTGCTACGAATTATAGTGGCCGAGCTGCAACACAAGCTTTCACTCCCCTAGGGGTGCTTCCACTCATGCGAGCTCAAGACCAATCCGCTTGCTCTACAATCTGTCGACGGAACTACCCTGCTTAAGACCATAACGGTAACGACATATACCCCAATACCAATCCAAATCCAAATTAACCTAGCCTCACATATACAAACCGCTCAACCCCCCGTAGGGAGGACCAGCTGTATAAAATGAAACGTTAAAACAGCTAAAGTGAACTGTCTCTCCCTAAGAATCAACAAAATGGAATTGGCATAGGATAAATATGTACATCAAGCTTGCTTCTCGTGCGCCGAACTGCTAAGGAAAACATCTACAGCAGAATACAAAGAACCACAAGTGATTTACTTCATATCCAAGCTGAGAGCCCACCTTAACACAGACTGATGATAATTAGTTAAAGAAAGAAGAAAATAAAAACATAAACGAAAATTTTTTCTGTCTCAGTCTTCATTTTATAGCTTCTGTAAAATTTCCATCGCACTAAATTTTTCACGGAGCAGCAAGAAAAATAAGGGATTACCCGCATATTAAAGACCTCATCTTATAGGGCATCTCATCTCATCTCAAGAAGTATCAATTAATACACAACAAGCAAAGCAACTATGAATAGAGACAGAAGATCCAAGAAGCGAGCCGCTGCCTCAACAGACAGCAATGAAACAGGATCAAGTGATATCCTTCCGTTCACATCAGATGATTGTATGGAACCCACCAAAATCATGGATTTATTCGAAGTATGTTTCAAAAACGTCCTCGATTCTCCTGAGTTACAAGAGCATATTCAAGTAGTGAAAGGAGATTTATATAATCGAGATTATCTTTCTGCATTTAATAATGACGATAAAAGATTCGCTTATGCATCGCGTTGGACACCAGCTAGGGCATTGGCATATACTTCGCTTTTCGCATCTTTGGAACCAATTAAAGAATTAATGGAAGATCCTGAGTCTAAGAAATCAGTCTTATGCGTTGGCGGCGGAGCATCTTCAGAATTGGTAGGGTTGGCAGCAGTGTTCGCTAGATTAAAGGAATACAATTCCGGCTCTGCCTCAGAACTCAATATTAAGTTGATCGATATCGCAGATTGGTCATTGGTTGTGAATAATTTAACATCGTATATGAAAAGCAATTGGGTATATCATCAAGAAAAGCTCAATTCTGAATTCGTTTGTGGAGATGTCTTGACTGTCAATCCAGATTCCCTCGGTCTCGAAACTCTTGATTTAGTTACGCTCTTATTCACAACAAATGAATTGTTTGCAGAAAAGAGAAAAGAAACTATAAGACTCCTTCAATTATTGAATTCAAGATGTAAACAGGGAAGTCTTTTGTTAATAGCAGAAAGTGCAGGTTCATACTCACATATCACGATTGGAGAGAGGCGGTTCCCAGTCCAATTTTTAATAGATACAGTATTAATAGGCAAGCCGGGTGAAAGTAACGGAGCGTGGGAAATAGTTCAACAAAGCGAAAGTTGTTGGTATAGAATAAATCAAAAAGAAGTGGAATATCCTATGAAATTGGAGAATATGAGATTCTTTTATAGACTTTATAGAAAGAACTAGAGGAGCCTATTTCGGTAATCTATTTATTTCGTCAACAAACTTGGATTGCAAGGTTTTCAAAATTTGAAGCTTATATTCCATCTCCGCATCCAAAGATTTTATATGATTTAATGCATAATATAGCTCTAATACGAGCTTCCTTCTTTTGGAAAGCAGTTTTATCCTTTCGTCATCATTTGTATTTCTGGTTGACCTTAGTTGGTTTGCAATTTTCTTTGCTTCTACAATTAGGTTGTCGGGCAACATGCGTGAAAATTCAGCGAATCTAATCCCATACCCAATAGTTTCTACCTTTCCCTTAACCAATTGATATTTCATTTGAAGTTGTCCCTCTGATTCCCCGATTTCCATATGTGAAGAGACTACACATGATTTATTACTTAAAATATCAGCAACTTCCCTGAAATGGGTCGAAGTGAATACAATCGCTCCCGAAGTTATGAAATATTCAAGTATAGCTAAACATATTGAAAACCCGTCGGTGAAATTGGACCCTCTTCCTAATTCGTCAATGATTACCAAACTTTTATCATTAACCGCCTTTAAAATCATGGCTATTTCTGTCATTTCCTTAGAGAACAGCGATGCATTCATCTCAGTATTATCAGAAGATATACGGGTGTATAGGCTCTCAAAGATTGGTAGTACCGCGTACTCAGCTGGTACAAAACATCCAATTTGTGCCATGATCACGATATATGCAATTTGTCGTAAATAAACCGATTTCCCACTCATATTTGCCCCAGTAATAATCTGAAATCGAGATATCTCATGTATGCACGAATAGTCATTGGGAACAAAATTTGAGATTGTTGTTTCTAACACTGGATGACGAGAATGGCGAACATTTACCTCTTTTCCAAACTCGGGACAGGTGTAGTCTCGTTTTTGCAAACTCACAAATTGGGCTAAGCAGCACAAGAAATCCAACGTCCCGATGGCTTCGGAAATCATAAAAAAGATGGGGACATAAGAAGCTACTTGTTCGTATAATTTCCCAATTATATGATTGTTTAAATTCGCAATCTCGGCTAATATACCGGTAAACCGTGAACTCTGTTTCATTAATTCAATTGTTGTACATTCTGTCATCTTCCTTTTCTTGATCCGATTTATGAAAATAGTTGGAAGTGATTGCATTGGCATTTTTCCCTCTTTTATTCGTAAATAGAATCCCCTTGAGCTTTCATACCTAAAATCGATTTCAAGACCATATTCATCACATAGCTTCAGAACAATTTGATTGGTTTCTTCTAGTAATGTTTCATGAACCCTTCTAGAGACATCTAAGAATCCATTCACTCCGGATTTAATTGCGTTGGCTTTTTGATTGGTTAATTCCAATGAATTCTTGGCCCATTGACAGGTGTCATAAATGTATTCCTTTATTGTGTTCAAAACAGTCTGAATATACTCGTGAGATACTATCGCCTTAATCTCGACCAATAAGTTGCTTTTTGCATAATCAAGGGATTTAACGATTTCAATGCAATTCTCTAAACACCCCTTGAATAGAATAAGATTGTTGAGTCGTTGATCTCGGTTAAACACAATCGCGTCTTCATCCATTTCAAGAAAAGCTCCCACGATCTTCTCCATGTCATGAAATTTCTTCAATTGCGTTCTAATAGATATCAAAATATCTTCATTGGAGATTAGCTCTTGTACCGTCTCTAGTCTTAGTTTTATGCTTGGAACGTCTGTGAGTGGCTGCAAAATGGATGCGCGTAAGATTCGTTTTCCCATCTTTGTTACACTATGATTGAGAAATGAAAATAATGACGTTCCTTTATCTGAAATACTATCAATAAGTTCTAAATCACGAATTGAAAAGGTATCAATAAGCATATTGGATTGACAATTATCAAACTTAAGTCTCAATTTATTATTCGTTCTAATAAGTTTTGAACTGATACAATACTCAAAACAAGCATTCGCTGCAGCTAGCGCAAGTTCATTTCCATTGCATTTCTCCTGCAAAACCACCTCGTCATATTCGCAATGAAGTTTTATGTTTGTGAACCCATTTGCTGTATTAAATTGTCTTAACTTCAATTGGACTTCTTTTATATTATCTGGGATATTGGACAGAACCACATATTTCAACTTATCAATTTGAGGATTCATATGAGCATCTGGAAGTAAAATAATACTTGGATCATGAACTTTTAGTTGATGTATAGTTCTTGAAAATGTCAGGGAATCACAAAAATTCAACAAGATCAATTCTACTGACTTTGTATTTAAAATTGCAAGTCCCATATCAGGAGTATCGGACCTCAGTCTGTACATTGACATTATCACCTCATACTTATCTTCAATCAGTGGTAATCTTCTTCGTTTGTTACTTATGCCATTCTCAGACATGGAGATGAAACCATATGCTTCACTTAAAGTAGACATCTTCACTTTGTTTATTGTATGTATACATAGAATTGTATAAACCTTTCAATGTGCTGCAAAAAAAAATTGGCAGCCAAAAAAATTGTATCAAATGTTCTAACTCAAACTACAGGTCTTTCCCAGTTCCAGATATTTAGGACAGTCTCCTTCGGGTGGGTGCACAGCGTTCTGTTGGCTTTCTTTCTTATCGCTACCTTGTTCTGTGCTATCAACTTCTTGAGTGGTGGCTTCGGATGCTTCTTTAGTCTGATTCTTCTTGGTTGTTTCTTCTTCTTCTTCACCTTGTTTCTTACTTTCGTCGATTTCAGTCTCTCCCAACTTCTTTGCCAACTCTTCCACTTCCTTATCCTCTTCTCTTTCCTTCAATGCCGCCTCTTCCTTCATTCTTTCTTCAATCTCGTCAATCTTTTCTTCCACGGTTTCTGGTACAGCATACTTAGCCTGTTCCTTTTCAACAAGTGCATCGAGCTCGTCCTTAAATCCCAACAACGAACAAATAGTTTCTGCCATTTCATCACAATCACCTAACAATACAATATCTGATTCTCTAGGATCGCTACTAAAATCACCCACGTTCTCGTTGTTAATCAAAACTCTCAATGCCCTTTTTCCAATATCTGAAGGTAATCCTCCAAATGGATAGACCGTTAAAGACGTGCCTGCAACTATGGCAACCTCTACATCTGCACAATCTTCCTCCCACATTTCAAAGAATCTGTCAGGAAGCCCTTCTCCAAAGAAAACAATGTCGGGCTTTACATAATTTTGACAAAGATCACAAGTAGGTATCCCGTCCCTATCTTTATCAGCCATGTATTCACGTAATGTTTCATTATCCATTTCCATATGACATTTTATACAATGGTTTGATGCAAATGATCCATGCGCTTCAACCATATATTGATCTTCAACACCTGCTAATCTTTCCAAAGTATCTATATTCTGCGTATAAACTCTCTTCAATAAATCTTTCTCTTGTAACAATTTAATAAAGAAATGAAATTTAGTGGGGGCATATTGTCCAGGGTATAATTCTTCTGCTAGGGTATAGAATGGTTTAGGATTCTGTTTGAAAAATCCGATATCAAATACTGCTTCTGGGAATGGTAAATCTAATTTTGCTAAGTTGGAATATAGCCCTGTGTCAGGGCTTCTAAAATCAGGGATACCAGCATTGGTTGAAACACCAGCTCCAGTAAAGAATGTAACCTTCTTTCCACTATTAATAGCATCAATTAAAGGTGTTAATCTTTTTTCAATGTTAGTTAGAGCCATATTGATTTTGTGTGATTTATACAATGTTCAATGAAACTTCAAGAAAGTAATTAGAGTGTATTAATTAATACGTTCAAAATATGGGGTCTAAAAAAAATAGGAGTGGATGATCCCTTTTTATGTGAAGAATCATATCTCACGACTTTTAAAGTTTCGTTAGAATGTTCAGGTTGTCATGTCAGGGTAGCAAACAAAAGTTTCTCAGACAAGTTATCCTCTTCCCTGCTACCCGTCAACAGTTTGTCACTATCCGCAACATGTCTAATCCAAGAGACAGCAGGAGTATTCCACACAGAAAGCAATTCAAGAACCAACGCCGAGTCAAATATACAATTCCACGAGGTCCAATCAATCGATCGATTTCTAAATGGATTACAGATACAGTTGAAACAATTGACGAAAATGATAGAGAATGCATCGAAATTGAAGTGAAGTTCGGCAAGATTCTTGATAAATCAACCCAATCTCGTGTTAACCTCCCAAAGGAATGTCTATTGCGCAAAGCTGGAAATAACATTAACTTTCAAATGGAAGTTCAACAATCAGATTGGCAGGAACTTCATGAATTGCTTGAGAACAAAACCAGAACAAACGATATTTCAAATAAGGTATTTTCGAGCACAACTGAAAATGCATACCATATAGGTCAAGGACAAAACGAACGGAGAGTAAGGATCTCTACCGACAATCTATCAGACCCGCCGGTATTTACGGCAGTGGAAAAGAAAAGGATCTCTGATCTATTTATTCATACCCCCTTTAATAGATATGATTTCCGAATTTCAATATCGTTGGAAATTCCTGAAGTTGAGATTGACTTGGAAAAGGTCACGAAGGAGCAAAAATCGTTTTTTACAAGATTCAAAAAGAGAACTAGTTGGAGGAAAGGCGATACACTATACGAATTTACGAGAGCATTGGAACCGAAAGAAGGCAAGACGAACAAGTGTGAGAAGTATGAAATTGAACTAGAGATGAACCCGGCTGCTATTCTAGATGCCATATCTAAGAAAGAGAGCATTGATGAAGTGGTTGATAATTTCATATTCGATGCAAGGCTGATTAATTATGCAGATGATAACGTAAACACCCGATGTGAAAACCAAACAAGTTCTGCTCGATCCGATCATGTAAAAAAAGGTAATTATAGATAAAGTTCCCCATTACCATGAGCTTTACTTTTCGGAGCTTCTTCTATATCATAGAATTTTAGAACATTTAGAGCTAGCCAATGATGTATTGCTAAACGTCTTCCAATCGGATATCAATTCATAGGTCGATATTCCCACTAGCTGAAGGCGATTCATTCGCCACAAGCTCGGCTTCTATTCCGCATATTGCTAGACGAGAGATAAAACAAGAGAGTAATCATAGCAAGTTAAACTGAACAAGAGAATGTGGTTCTATTATATTACAATCTTCCTATTATCTTTGCAGCGCAAATAGCTTGCTATTTTTGAGTTCTTGAAGATTTTAATTACCCTTATAAATTTACAAATTACATCATTCCTGTTGACGCATCACTCCAGTGACTTATTTTTAATTTAACTAAATTAGATCATATACCGCTACAACATCAAAATCTTACTATCTCTAATAAACTAATACTATACTCACATTAATGACTTACTCAATTCCTTTAAATCAAAATCCCACTTCAAATCCTCTTTAAAAACGTTCAAAACTCCAACATATTCCTTTATATACACCCCATGATATAAATCCTCAACCATTGTCCTAATCTTATACTCAAGCGCAACCAAATCATCCTCTAGGGCAGTCGAATCATCCTGCGCTTCAAGTAAAAGATTGAATTGAGATATCAAATCATGGATTTCATGGGCTGTTTTGGTGTAGTTGAATATAATCTCCAAGAGATTATAGATATGGCTGATATAAGTTTCACCTGATTTCTTACCCCTGCTTTGATCATCCAAGATTTTCGATTTTGTGATTGATGTAAGATATGATTGATGAAGGTTTATAATTTCATCGATTGTTAGGACATTAACGTTAAATTTCGGTTCTGGGAATGGATGCGGTATATCTGGGAATCCTCGATTTAATAATAAATCTTCATTTTTTTGATTTTTGAATAATTTATCAATAATGAACTGTTTAAAACTCTTTTCAATAATTGAGAAGGATATATATTCGATAATCTTATTCAACATCTTATTCATATTAAATTGTGTTCCCATAATCGTTCGAATCCATTTCTTGATCTTTGTCTTGTCTTTATTACCTATTGATTTATGTAATTGAGTAAATGATCTATAAGTTTCATTCAACAAATAACTCATATGTTTCAACTTCCATAAGAAATGGAATATTTTCAAATAGTTAACCATTTGAGATTCAATTAAAAAATTCAAACTCAATTCATCAATTCTATATTCAATGGTAAACACTTCCCAAGCAATTGATTCTTCCATGTTTAAGAAACGGGCGTTTAATCGGTTACAAATTTCTAAATCTTGAATATTTGACAATTTAGTTGCAGAATGAAGAATCTCAAGTAAGTGATTGGATTTTATATGGGTGTTAAGTTGGTGGAACAATGGGTTAGATTCTATGATTAAAGATTCTATGAAATGATTGTCATACATCAAATAGAATCTTTTGAAATTTGTGAGGTGATATAAGAACTTATTTGTACCATGGATGATTTCGGTGAAATAATTTAGGATTGCGGTATATTGGGAATTTATCATATCTTTGAATTGTTCTTGTGACATGGATGATAATCCTTGGTTTTCGACATAGATTATATTGGAATACTTCGTATGAAATTGAAGTAACCATCGTAATTCTTGACAATATTTATTTAGGAAAATAATTGTTTTACCAATTTGAAATATCTTTTCACTTAATGGTAAGAAACTCGGGATTTTGGATTTATCAAATTGAATAATTTTATTAAATTCATTTTCGTCAGTATTAAATGAAATGAAAAACTCTTGATGCTCATCCACAAGTTCACCCTTAAGTATCCAATGTTCAATAATATTATAATAATTCTTTACGATTTCATCAAAGAAGAATTGTGTCAATTCTTGAATTAACAAATCATCCGATTTCGTAAATTTGTAAATTCTGCATAAAAAATCATATCCATTCACTTCATCAAGTCTGATTAATAACTTATACAATATTCTTAACTTGAATTGCCAAGCTGTTAATCTCTGATCAACAAACAAAATCGTTGGAGGTTTTGTTGTAAATAATTCGTTCACATCATTGGCATATTCACTCAACTTAATTTCCACAAGGGTCACAAATGCATTTTTAATAGCTGAACCTAGACTTCCTCTATACTTATCCACCAACTCACGACTATCTCTGTATGACATTGCCAATTGGAAAATTTGCGTTAGGAGGGAAATATAACAATCATTAATTTCTGATGGGATTTCAATTTGATGGTTGTTACCAAATTTGAATAATTTAGAATCAAGACCTAAGAGGGTATATGATAAATATTTCAATATCAAATCTTCATCTAATGTGTTATAATATGGTTTTATAAGTTCATTCAAGGGCATAGGAATATCGGTAATTGTATCATTATGGGAAAAGCTTTGCTCGGGAAGTATATTATGTGACAGGTGCAGTTGCAGTTGTTGCTGATATGGATGAAAACGCAGTTGCTGATGATGAGGTGATGAGAAGGAACCTCTTGCACCCAAATGTCTTTGTAATAAGGGATCATCTTTATTTCTTAATTCATTAAAGAATACAAGATAATTACAAATTTGATCCATAGATTTACTCTTAGATAATGAACTCAATATATTCTGAAAAATTGACCATTCTGAAGTTAAACCATTATTTAAGAAATGAGCCTTATATTCATTTATAACTGATTGTAAGTCATATGATTCTGGTTGGGTATTTAATATGATTGCCTGGAATTGTTCTGTAATGCTATTGATGAACTCTTCTCCATATTCTGACGGTATTAAAGATTTGACAAGCCGTTGACTGTATACTTTAATTAGCTGTATTTTATCAAGCGCCATAGCCTCTCCCTTTATGTCTTGCCTTTATCTTGATTGATAGGTGGTATTTACAGCAGTAAGAGAGATGAAAAATGATTGTTAATAAATTTGATTTGTTTTGATTTTCTTTTCGGCGTTTCGAAGTCGCGCCCTAAAATAAAAGGTGGATTGGTAGCACCGCCAAAATGGATCCTTAAGAAAATGAAACTATGGTGGTTTAGATTACAGTTCACACTTAAACTTAAGCTAATTTATCCTTTTAGGCAACGACAGTTTCGAGATTATTAGTGGCAGGATTTTACTCTATGTCGGATTATCAAATCATGAACGAAGTTTGTAGATTTTCAAGAAAAGAAAGAAATGAAAAATATTTTGATATTTTTGCAACCATTTTCCCAAAAACAAAATCCACACTTCATAAATTTTGGAAATATTGTACTAGAATTCTTTTGTGGTTGTTAGCTTTGATAGAAATTCACATACCCCTCTTTTCAAATACGCCTGAGTTTTATTTTG